GAAAAGAAGGAGGAGGAGGACGAGGAGGATGATGAGGGCGAGCAGAAAGGCAAGAGGCCTCTAGGATATTCTCAGGATCTCTTCGGATGTCTCTTGAGAGTTTCTTGGGGTCCTCTTGGGGCGTCGTGGGGGCCACTTGGGGGTCCCAGGGTTTTCTTGGAGCGTCTTTGTTGTCTCAGGGGGAGCCTCTTGGGGCCTCTTGGGGGTCTCTTGGGAGCCTCTTGGGGACCCCTCGGTGGCCTCTTGGGGGTCTCTTGGGAGCCTCTTGGGGTCCTCTTGGGGGCCTTTTGGGGCCACGTTGGGGCCATGTTGGAGGAGATCGATCAAAAAAGGGGGGGCACCAAATTAGCGTCGCCCCCCCCCCCCCACCCCCCCCGAACCTGAAAAAAAATGGGTCGCTCCCCTTTCCAGGTCCAGAGGAGCACGCCCTAAAGGCCTTGCGGGATTATCGAAGACGGCTACGGCGAGTCACAGCCGTCCCCTGCCTTTTTCGGAGCGCCTGCCAAACGTTTGGCCCAAGCTCGGCCAAGCTATCGGACTATGCATTCCCCCAGCCGCTCTGGAAACTCTCAAAGGAACATGTAGAAGATAATAATGAGTAGGAGGAGGAAGAGGAGGACTATTTGGAGCCTCTTGGGGCACTCTAAGGGCCTCCAGGGAACTTCCTGGGGGCCTCTTGAAGACCTCTTGGGGGCCTCCTTGGGCCTCTTAGGGGCTTTTGGAGGCTTCTTGGGGGCTTCTCTGGCTGTCTTCGGGCGTTCCTGGCCTGTACGACGCCATCGGAAGCTGTATTGGGGGGCCTCTCTGAGCCGACTTGGAGCCCTCTTGGACCGGTTCACGGCCGTCTTCGAGGCTATTTTGGGCGTCGTGGATGCCTCTTGGGCCGTCTTGGGGCCCTTTGGGGGCCGTCTTGGAGGCCTCTTGGGCCATCATGTGGCCATCTTGGAGGCCTCTTGGGCGATCCTGGGGGCCTCTCGGGCCGTCTTGGGCCGTCGGAAGACAGAGAAGGAGCAGATTCCACAATCTTGCACAAACCAACAGAACATCATTTATGTTGGCTTCTTCGGCTCTTCTCGGAGGACCTTTTGGAGGCCTCTTGGGCCGTTTTGGATGCCTCGTTGGGGCCTCTTCGGCCATCGTGAGGCCATCTTAGGCCGTCTTGGGTGCATCTTTGGCCATCTTGGAGACATACTGTAGCCATCTTGGACTCTCTTGGTGCCATCTTGGCCATCTTGGAGGCCATCTTAGCCATCAAGGAGGCCATCGTGTGGCCATCTTGACGCCAAGACCGACGGCACGGAGGTTTTCCGGGTGGCCAGCGGGTTGGGCCAAGACCCCATTAGGAGTTCTTTGGAAAAGAACCCAAACCTTCCTGAAGTTCAGCAAACCAAGCACACCTGTGATGAATCACTACGGGGCGGCGGATCGAAGACGCGAATCACCGTTGCCCCTTGCCATTTGGGATACACCTATGTGGCCAGACGTTTGGGCAACGTTTGGCCACGCTATGGGACCATGCGTTCCCCCAGCCGTGGTTGATGCCTTTCGAGGAACATGAGGAGAGGGAGGAAGAGGAGCATGAGGAGAGGGAGGAAAAAGGAGGATGAGGAGACCTCTTGGGGAGCTTCTTGGGTCATTATTGAGGCCTCTTGGAAGCCTCTTGGCGGCCTCCTTGGGCCTCTGGGGGGCCTTTGCGGGCTTCTTGGGGGCCTCTCTGGCCGTCTTAATACGTTCCTGGCCCGCCTGACGCCGTCGGAAGCCGTCTTGAGGGCCTCTCGGGTCGCTTCAGGGTCGTCTTGCAGGCCATCTTGGGCTTCTTGGAAGCTTCTTGGGCCGTCTTGTGGCCATTTGGGGGCCGTCTTGCGGCCCGGAGCTCCAGAGCTCCGGGCCCTTTCATCATTATGATTCGTATCAGCACTGCTGATAACATTGCTGCTTACTATTCGTATCCTGGTGTTCCTATTGTGTGTATTGTTCTCCTTATTGGAATGATGGTTGTCTCCCTCTTCCTCGCCTCGCCGTGCTCCTCCTGCTCCTGCTCCTGCCCTCCACCGGCTCCTCCTGCGGCTGCTGCAGGCCCGCCCCGCCCCGCCCCCCACCCACGAGGCGCCTGGAAGGGCGGCCTCGGCCTCCCGACGCCAGGGCGCCGACGGCGCCGAGGAGCCCCCGGGCCTGGAGGGGCAGCGCGCACTCGGAGGCCTCGGGCCGGCGGCAGGCCAGAGAGGGGCCCTTCGCCCCCTCGCTCGAGGAGGAGGAGGAGGAGGAGGAGGAGGAGGAGGAGGAGGGGGAGGAGGAGGGGGAGGAGGAGGAGGAGGAGGAGGAGGAGGAGGAGGAGGGGGAGGAGGAGGGGAGGAGGAGGAGGGGGAGGAGGAGCTCGAGGAGCCAAGGACGGCCAATTTCTCGGAGGTCCGCGCGGATGTCTTCGATCGGCGCGGCGGGGCCCCGCGGCGGCGCCTCGGGCGGCGCCCCTGGCGCGCGCGCGCTCCGCGCGCCAGGGGGGGGGGGGAGGGTCCGGCGCCGATCCAGGAAAGCCGTGTGAACCATCGAGCAATGTAGGTGTTGCTTCTGAGGTGCACGTAAGAGTGGCCCTTCGCTGGGGTGGTTGCCGCACCGTGCGCGGCGATCGGGAAGCCGCACGCCAGAGGTCGCTCCTGCCTAGTGGGCCACTCTTGCGTACATCCGAGCGGGGGGGAACAGCGGGCAGGGGCGTCCAGGACCGGAGATGTCCCCAGCTTTGCGCGCCATGTTGGGGCGCCTTGGAGCTCACCTTGGGCCAGGATCACCTGTGGCAGCACCCGAAGGGTCACTGCCCCCTCTTGATTGCGCCTCTGGCATGTTGCAGAGACCTCACGGGCAGCCCCGCCGATCCCTGGAAGCGAGAGGCTGGAGCAAGCGGTCGGAGGGGGGCCGGCGGCAAGGGCTGTGGCCGCTCAAGCGCGAGGGCGAAAATCATGTACCCGCCGGTCGCAGTCGCACCGCTGGTCGGCCGCTGTCGCACCGTCAGTGGGAAAAAAACACGTCTGTTGGAAAACACACACACACACGGTGGGAAAACACACACACACACACTGTGGGAAACAAACACGCACTGTGGGAAAACACACACACACACATGTGGGGAAAAAAAACCCACACACACACACACTGTGGGGGAAAAACACACACTGTGGGAAACACACACACACACACGGTGGGAAAAAAACACACACACACAAACAAACAAAACACACACACACACACGTGGGAAAAAACACACAAAAAGCACGACCACCCTGTCTATGTAATTCTGTCTCTCTGGCTGGGCGCCGCCCCGTGGCTGTTGCGCTTGAAGTCCGGAGCGGGACGCGTCATTCGCTCGAGGTGCCCATGGCCAGCCGTTGCTGCCACACACGTTGATTACACTTACTCTTCACTTGTCCACCTCGACGACGTATCGTTTTTGGGCATCGGCGGACCACGTCAACGCCACACGGGGGGGATCACATATTTCCATACCTTCCCGATGGGGTCCGAGTAGATGGGGTCGGAGGCTCGCGCCGCATCGGCGATGCATCGCCGATGCGGCTCGATGTGGAGTCCGACTTTCTCCACGCCGACGGCGCCGACGCATCGCCGACGTCGCCGATGCATCGGCGATGCGGCGCGATCCCCCGACCCCATCTATTTGGACTCCATCTGAATGGGCCTCGAAGATTGACAACCACCCTCATGTTCTGGACGGGTCGATGGACGGGTGGTTCAGGATGTTTTATTCGGAGGTGGATAGACCTCCTGCCCTGACACGTCGATTAAGGAATTGGCCGTTTTCGGTTCGCTAGAGGGCGTCGCGGCCGTCATCTTTGCGGGTCCAGGTCATTCGGTTTCGGTCCCAGGCCGTTTTCACTAGGGGGAGGTTTACTAAAGGGAGGTTTGTCCACCGCCGATTTATGGGTGGGTGGGCAGGGATACGCTGGTGGCATGTCTAGGCGCGTTGGTGAGCATGTGTTGTTCGTAGTTTGAGGCTTGTGGGCAAGGATATGTGGTTGACAGCTTTCGGCGGCCGGATGGGGAGACGTTGGTGGAATCATGGGGCGTGCAGGTGCAGATATCTGGGCGGCAGTATCAGACAGGTGAAAGGTAAGTACGTCTCTGCAGTTTTAGGCGGCTGGGTGAGAACGTTCGGGTGGCAGCTTCATGCGGATGGGTGAGGCCATTTTGGGATGGAATTCTGGACGGGTGGGTGAGGACATGTCGGTGGCAGCTTCGGGTGCGGATGGGCATGCTCGGGTGGCAGTTGTCGGCGACTGGTTATGAATTCGCCAGTGGAAGTTTTAGCAGGCGAGTAAGGACATTTGGTACGCAGCCTTTGGCCGCTGGGGGGTGATATTTCGGCGACAGTGTTAGCCGCTCTGTTTGCGCATTTGGCGCGGCGCTGTGCCTGAAATATACACGCCCGCCCCATGTTGTTGGCTTGGCGGGAGGGGGGACAAGGGTCGAGTTGTCTGATGATTGCTCACATCTCTCATACTCGTTCCGTTTCCTTCCTCCTTTTTTTCATTCATCACCATTCCATTCTCACCCTCGCCTTACCGTTAATCGTCCTCCATCTCCCATCTCGTTTTGTTCCTCATATTCCGCTTCCTGTGCTTCCTGCGGGGGAGTCATTCTCATCCAACCCCTCCACGTCGTTCCCCCTCCCCCTGTCCCTCCCATTTCCCTATCCAAGTTCCCTCCCCTTTCCTGTTGCTGATACAAGCCATTCTGCTCATTATGATCCTCCTGTTGCTGTTGATGCTGCCATTGTCCCCCCTCCTCTTCCTCCTCCTCCTTATCCTCCTCCTCCTTCATCTCCGCCTTTCTCACCAACATCACCATCAGAACATTCCCCCAATCTACCTCCTGCGCAGTTCCCGCTGGCATTCTGGCTCAAGGCCTTTGGGTGGAGTTTTGGCGCAGGGAGGCCCATACGGCTGCGCAGCTTGCGCTGCGTGTCAGCCCGTGGCCGCTGCGCTCTTCCTGCCATGGATTCGGCGTCCCCGGCGACGATGGCGACCGACCACGAATTGTTTGTTGGGGATCTCATCGACCAGATGCGGAAGCAGCGCCAGGAGAAGAGCCGCAGCTACAGGAACCTGCCCTACTTCACGCACCTTGGCTCGGGCGAGGTGTTTGAGGCCCTGGACCGCGTGCGGCAGGCGAACCTGCAGCAGATGCAGCTGAAGATGCAGAAGGACTGCTCGTACATGCAGCATATGGACGACATGTCCCTCGAGGGCCGCAACGCTGAGAGCGTCCGCAAGCGGGTGCAGGAGGGGAAGTTGCAGGGCGGCTTCCGCCAGGTCCAGAGCAATGGGCAGACCACGGTGTGCGGCTGCCTGGACTGCCAGCTGCGCTTAGGGAATAAGCAGTTCAACAGCTCATTCCAGTACGAGCAGTCCAAGGACACGCTGGCCCAGCGGGTGCAGCGCTCGAAGCTCACCTTCCTGGGGGCTGCTGCGCACGGCAAGCCGATGCTCGCCATGCACCTGGCCAACGAAGGCGGGGCCCCCGACGCGCTCGGCACGGCGCTGCACGCGGCCGTGCTGCGCGGGGACGTGGATCTCGTGAGGCTACTCTGCGGGCGCACCGAGTGCGACACCTCCGCCACCTGGGCCGGCGTGACGGCTCTGGACTTTGCTGTGTTTCGGGGCTTTGAAGATGGTGGGGAGGTGCTCTTGCAGCACGGAGCGCCGCTGTGCCATTTCCAGCACGACACTCTCCACGAGGCCGTGGACCGCGGGAGTGCGCTGCTCCTACGGTCGCTCTTGCAGCAGATGGGTATTTTTTCGCACCAGAGCCCGTTTGTTTCCAGTGCGCGCATGGAAGTGGTCAACAGCGCGAACTCCGACGGGAACACGCCGCTGCATCTGGCGTGCCTGCTGGAGACCAGGGAGGCGGCGGTGAAGGTGCTGGTCGCCCACTGCGCAGATTCCAACAAGGAGAACGCAGACGGCTTGACGGCGATGGACTGCTGCGTCCAGGCTGGGAATCGTTCTGCCTGGAAGGCGCTGCGGCACGCTGCCGGTTCGCAGGCCAAGTACCACAAGTTCGAGACGGAGAGCCGGTCGTTGCGCGGGGCCGTGGCAGCCAATTGCCTCTTCCTGGTCCGGAACGTACACCTGAGACAGGAGGACGACCGGAAGACCACCGATAGGTCGCGCGCCGACTTGGGGGACGTGCTGCACCTGGCCGTGTCCACGCCAGGCGTCGCCGACGACCTGGTGCAGTACATGGTCGAGCAGGGCGCGGACGTGAACGCGATGAAGGATGGGTTCAGCGTCCTGGACGCTTGCCTGCAACACAACATCGTCAGCGAGAGCGTTCTGGGCAGGCACGCCAGGCTCAGCAAATTCCAGGACTACAGCCTCCGAGCCGCAACGAAGGAGGGCATAACTGGTCTCGTCCGGTACCTGGCAAATACCGCCAGGAAAGGAGGCAAGGACGGCGTGAATCAGCGCGAGTCGGGGCTTGTTCCGCTGCACGTTGCCGCCTCGTGCGGCTTCGTGGAAGTCGTCAAGGTGCTGCTCAAGTGCAGTAGCAACGCCCACGAGCAGACCGACGATGGCAAGACGGCGCTGGATCTAGCCTGTGAGGAGCTGTCGCGGCTCCAGCCGACGGGCGACCGTGGTGGCGAGGAGGACGGGCGCATCCTGGGGCTGTGCCGTACCGTGGACGCGCTGCTGTCCAGGGGCTGCAGGCTGAAGGAGTTCCAGGACGAGGGACTTCATTTTTTCCCGACCATCCTGTGTTGTTGGGTCCTTGTTTTAAAGAGACAGCGCCCCGCGTCACTTCTTCCGTCCTTGCTTCCTCTCCTCCTCCCTCTCCTCCTCCCCCCACTTCCTGCAACCATCACGCGCTTCATGACCCGAAGGCCCCAGAGGCAGGGTTCGCATGCGGTTCCACCCTCATATCGGCACACCCCTCACACGTTTCGTGGCCCCATCAAGAGCTCCACCTAAGGCCCCAGAGGCAGGGTTCGCATGCGGTTCCACCCCCACTTTCGGCACACCCCTCACACGTTTTGTGACCCCATAGGGAGCTCCACCGAAGGCCCCATAGGGAGCACCACTGGGGCCTTTTGTTGAGCTCCCTTTGAAGCCACGAAACTTGTGAGGGGTGCGCCGAGATGTGGGGCGGAACTGCGTGCGGACCCTGCCACTGGGGCCCTCGGTGGAGCTCCTTATTTGACAACGAAACTTGTGAGGGATGCGCCACACTGCGGGGTGGAACCGCATGCGAATCCTGCCGCTGGGGCCTTCGGTGGAGCTCCTTATGGGGCCACGGACATGTGAGGCGTGCGCCGAAGTTGGCATGCGGAGAGCAGGGGCACGATGATGATGATGATGATGATGATGATGATGATGATGATGATGATGATGCTGATGCTGATGCTGATGCTGATGCTGATGCTGATGCTGGTGCTGGTGCTGGTGCTGGTGCTGATGCTGATGCTGATGCTGATGCTGATGCTGATGCTGATGCTGTTGATGATACTGATGCTGATGCTGATGCTGATGCTGATGTTCTTGCTGTTTCTGCTGCTGTTGGTGATCATGATGGTGATGATGGTGATGCTGATGATGCTGATGATGATGATGATGATGGTGGTGATGATGATGATGGCGACGATGATGACGATGCTGTTGATACTGATGATGATGATGATGATGGTGCTGATGATGATGCTGATGCTGATGCTGATGATGATGATGACGATGATGCTGATGCTGTTGATGATGGTCATGATGCTGATGCTGAAGATGATGCTGCTGATGCTCATGCTGATGATGATGATGGTCATGGTTATGCTGATGAGTGTGATGATGGTGATGATGATGGTAATGGTGGTGGTGATTCTGATTGTGGTGGTGGAGGTGATGGTGATCGTGACGGTGATGGTTGTCGTGCGCTGGTGTACATGATGATGTTGGTGGTGATGATGCTCATGGTGAGTAATGGTGATGGTGATGGCGATGATTGAGCTGATTATGATGATGAGGATGATGATGATGCCGATGCTGATTATGATTGCGATTCTGATGGAGACGGTGATGGTGATGATGATGGTGACGACGATGACGATGACGACGACGATGACGATGACGATGAGAAGGACAATGATGAAGATGATGACGGTGATGGTGATGGTGAAAGTGATGTTGGTGATGAGAATAGTAATGAAATTGCAAGTGACGGTGACGACGACGGCCACGACAACGTTGACGACCACGATGACGATGACCATGGTAATGTTGATGATGGTGGTAAGACTGCTGCTGATGATGATGCTGATGATGATCGCAATGAGGAGGAGGATGATGATAGTGGTGGTGATGACGATGTTGCGGATGCTGATGATGGCGATGATGACGGTGCTGGAGATGATAGTGGTGATGACGTTGATGATTACGATGATGATGATGAAAATGATGATGTGATGTTGATTATGATGATGATGTAGATGATGACGATTCTGATAACCACGACGACGATGATGAGGATGAGGATGCTGCTGATGATGATGATGATGATGGTGATGAGTCTGATGGTAATGGTGGAAGTGTGTGTGATGGTAATGGTGTTGATGGTGATTTTGATGATGAAGATGATGATGATGATGATGATGATGATGATGATGATGATGATGATGATGATGATGGTGATGAGGAGGAGGAGGAGGAGGGCGATTATGAGGAAGAAGAAGAAGTACAGGATCAAGGCGAGGAGGAGGAGGAGGAGGTGGACGAGGAAAGGAGTAGGGAGCGGGAGGAGGAGCGAGGAACGCGGGGTGCTGTCTTCTAGAAACGAGGATCCAACACCACAGGATGGCTGCGAATAAAGGGTCCCCCCCAGGACGAGTCGCAGGTGGAGCGGGCGATGCAGGCCATCAGGAGCGAGGCCGAGGAGTCGCGGCGGGAGGCGCAGGAGCAGGGCGACGCCAAGAGGCGGGAGGAGGATGCCCGGAAGCACGCCAAGAAGCGGCGCGAGGAGGCCGACGAAGTATTGCGCCAGGTCGAGCGCGATGTTCGTGCCAGCATGGCGGAGGAGGACCGCAAGCAGGATGGCTACAAGGAGGCGGAGAAGCTGGCCAAGAAGGTGGCCGAGAGCAGGGAGGTGCTGCAGGCGAGCTGGAAGGGGGACGGCGAGAAGTTGCCGGAGTACCTCTCGAGCAAGTACTACCAGATCCGAATCGACGTGCTGCGACGGAGGATCCAAGAGAGGGACCAGCAGATCGAGGAGGCGCTGAAGAAGATGGACTTCGCGGAGGAAGACTACTTGTGGTTGCTGCGCAAGAAGATGCGGGATCTGAGGCTAAAGTACCATCCAGACAAGATCACGGACCGGCAGTCCACCGAGGAAGACTACAAGTTCTATGAGCGAATAACGAAGGCGTACGACGTGCTCTGCACCAAGGAGGAGCGCGACAAGTACTTGGAAATGTCGAACCACGTAGAGTGGCTCCAGCAGCACGGGGAGGAGGAGGAGGCCAGACTCGTGGAGAAAGCGATCTACGACATGGACACGCAGAAAAAGGCCAAGAAGGAGGACAGGAAAGAAGAGGAGTCCGCGCAGCCTCCTCGGGAGCACGTGGAGCGAGCGAAGAAGAAGCTGCAGGAGCGGCGCGACGAGGACACGTGGGACAAGTCCGGCGAGAAGATCAGGGCGCTGACGCTGGGCACCCCGAACAAGTGCAAGGCGCCGGTGGTGACCGCGCAGCGCTTCGCGGAGAGGCTGGAGCAGTGCTGGATCGACCTGGAGTGGGTGTGCAAGTGCGCCTTCGCCTCGGCGGAGCGGATCGAGTACGAACTCCGGGTGCAGGCGATAGACAAGGCGGGGCCCCTTTCGATGCGATGGATCCGATCTGGTCCCGGATCTGGCCGGCTCGATCCCAGCAACGATTCCGAAGTTCGGCAGGTTTGCGCCTCCCCGCCGACCCCCAGGAGAGGAAATGTGCGGCTTCTGATTTCGTATGTCTTGCTAGCCATGTCCCGTCGCGCCTGCCTGAGCACGGTTGTTGCTGAGTCGCACGGTCGGGGACTTTTGCTCAGCATCTTGCGGTGGCGGCCCTCGCGACACGCCGCGTCTTGTGAGGTGACAGCGTGTCGCTCCGCCTCGCGGGGCAGGAGGCTGGGAACAGCCCGGGACGTTGACGCTTTGCTATGGGAACGTGGACGGCGTGTCGCGCCGAAGCGTGGTGGGCCAGAACCAGCGGAGCGACACGCTAAGCCGAAGTTCCCGTATCACCTTCGACGTCTGTTGTGGGGTTGCTTGGGGCTTCTTGCAGGCCTCTTGGACAACATCTTAGGGGAAGACCCGGGAGTCCAGAGGTCTGGGCTCCGCGACCCCGGGGCACGAGCGCTTGTCTTCATTATCTGCTTCCTTCTTCTCCTCCACCTCCTCCTCCTCCTCCTCCTCCTCCTTCTCTTCCGTGTTCGTCTCTTTATTTCCACTGCTCCCCTCCTCAGCCTTATCTTCCTCCGCGTCCGCCTCCTCCTTCTATTCCACCTGAATCCTGTTCCTTCGCATCGTCTTCCTCTCCCCCTCTTCATCCTCATCGTCCTACTCTTTCTGATCTCGTTTCTCGTCCTCCACCTTTTCGTTCTCCCCTATCCTCCCCCCGTCCATACTCCTCATCATCCTCGTCAGTCTCCTGAATGTAAGCTTCTTGACAGCCTCGTACCCATTCCCACCGGCCTATTCATCGACGTCTCCATCCTTAGCGTCATCACTATGATCATTACCACCGTCAGCATCACCATCACCAAATCAGAATCGGCAACACAACCACCCAATGCAACATCCATATCACCACTTAGATTCCATCGCAGGAGCAGCATCTAAACGACTCACCATCAGCGTCACCATGTGCATCTTTCATCAATACCAACATCGGCAGCACAGGCGCTGGCATCATCATCATCACCATCATCATCAGCAGCAGCATAAGCATCATCACCATCAGCAGCAGCAGCATAATCATCATCATCATCAGCAGCAGCAGCAAGATAACAAATGGCACGGGCATCATTATCATCATCAGCATTATGTTTATAATCGTCATCATTATAATAGCCATCATATGCATCAGCAGCAGCAGCATCATCGTCAACATCATCATCAGCAGTAGCAGCAGCAGCAGCACGAAGCAACAACCACCAACATCATCACCCTCGTCATCGCCATAGCCCCTGTACCATTATCATCATCGCCACTGCCGTCATCATCACCACCATCAAAGTTGGTATGGCAACCTCATTCAGGAACCTGTTCATGGGAGTCTCGTGGGGGCATGTTGGGATCTTGGGGGGCATCTTTTGGAGGAGGGCTCACGGTGCCCAAACGAGTTTCCCTTCTTGGGCCACTCTGGGGGGACCTCTCGGATTCTTTGGTTAGTCGTTTTGGGGTTCGATGGGACAGTGTTGGGGCCCTCTTGGGCCGTCTGCGGATTCTATTGGGGCCTTCTCTCGTGGGATGTCTCGGGCCCGTCTGAGGGGGCCTCTCGGGCCTTCATGGGATTCCAGAGGCACGAAAAGGCGAGAGCACATGAATTATGAAACAACAGAAATGCTTACGTTCGTGACGTATTGGGGAGGCCTTGCGGCCGTTGTCGCAGACCCTGACGGGGGACGGCGACGACGACGACGACGACGACGACGACGACGACGACGACGACGACGTGACGCTCTGGAGCCCTTCTTGGAGCTCCCTTGGGGGTCTCTTGGGCTCCCTGTTGAGGCCAGGGCTGGGGCCGGGGCCAGGGCTGGCGGCAAATGATTGCGTTCGTCACGTGGTTGGAGCGCGGGGGATGGCCGCGGACGGCCTTGTGCCGCCTGCCCAATCTTCCCCCTTCCTCCTGCTCTGCAGCCTTCGGGTTCGCCGAGCCGGATGTTGTACATCGTCGCGGTGGGCGCTCCCCCTCGGGGGAGGCCCCTGAACCCAGGCGCCCCGCTCCCAACCCCAGAGATCCGATCGATGTCGTGTTTTTTTTTTCAATGCGGGGTCCCTGGAAGTCTCGACCCACTCCCTGGGACCGGTTGTTCGTCCCGAGTCGTGTTTTGACGCTCCCAGGGCCCGGCGAGGGCCTCCTAGGGGCCCAAAGACTGCGAAGAGCTTCCGTCTTGATGTTTTCAATGCCTTGGAGCTCTGGGACCTCTCCGCGATGTCGGGGAGAGTGCGACGCTCCATCGCCCCGTGGCAGCGCAGCGGGCGCCCTCCGCCTGCGGCTCGGGGCGCCGCGGCGGGCGCTCTCCGCAAGAGGCCACCGCGGCTCGCCGCTCGCCCGCCTTGCCATGATGGGCCTGTCTTCCACCACCACCGCAATGAGTTGGAGGGGGAGGGGGCCTCCTCCTCCTCCTCCTCCTCCTCCTCCTCGTCCTCCTCCTCCTCCTCCTCCTCTTCCTCCTCCTCCTCCTCCTCTTCCTCCTCCTCCTCCTCCTCCAACTTATGGTGGTGGTGGTGGTGGTGGTGGAAAACGGGCCCATCATGCCAGGGAACCAGGCGGGCGCGCCCCCGCTCAGGCCGAGCGTGGCCGGGGGGGACCCCGCCCAGGGAGGGACGGGTTCGGCCTCTGGGGGCCCTCGACGGGCCCCGGGACCGCCCGGGAGCGTCGCACTCTCCCCGACATCGCGGAGAGGTCCCAGAGATCCAACGCATTGAAAAAATCGAGACGGAGGTTTTTCGCAGTTTTTGGCCCCTAGGGGCCCTCGCCGGGCCCCGGGACCGCATGGGAAAATCACGACGTCGGATCTCTGGGTACGCCAGGCCGCACTCGCCGCCAAGACGCTCGGTCCCAACCAGCAGTCTTGGGCAGGGAGTGCGGTCTTGCGTGCGGCGCGGGCGCGCCAGGGGAAGGGGAAGGGAGCACCTCTGAGCAGAAATCCCGAGCAGGACGCCAGCGACGGGGAGAAGGGGGCCCCCGGGCCGAGACACCCCCTGCCGAAGAGGAGGGATAATATTTCCTGGAGGAAGAAGAAGATCGGGGGTACGTTTACGAGGGAGGTTACCCCGAGGTGGGGTCCGGGGGAAGAGCCCGCCTGGATGTTCACACTTCTTCCCTCTGGGGGCCGTTGGGAGCCATCTCCCTACCAACTCTGACGCCCCCCCGACAAGAGGACCCGGGAGACGACCAGGCCGACCGCTGGAGAGGCGGCGGGTCATCACCAGAAGCTTCCGGAGCAGCAGTTGGGCCCGGCTCCCGAGCCGCGATCCACGTTGGGGAAGGAGAAGGCGGCTTCCATGGACAGACCCCTTGACCGCCTACCTCCGCCGCTTCTACCAGGTCAATGCGCTAGTGCTCGACGCACCGCGAGGGCCCCCCAGCGCCCTCCACCCTTCCAGGCCGAGGCGCTCGCCTCAGTCCCTCGGAAGCGCCGGGGCGGGGTGCTGGCAGAGAGTTTGGGATACCCTCAATACCCACTTCCAGGACCACCCCTCGTGGACGAGCGCTGGGCAGCCTGCCGGCATGCTGCTGGGTCGTCACAGCCACAGGGCGTTGCTCAAAGCCACGCAGGAGACGGATGTCCTCTTGGCCACTGCCGCCGCCGCCGCTACTCCACCAATTGTGTTCGTGGTAGTTTTGTTGATCCGCTCCGGCTGGAGCTGCGCTCGTGGGGATTTCCGAGTGCATGGTCGTAGCCAGCCTCTCTTCCTTTTTTCGTCCTGTCTTCCTCCTTCCTCTGTCCTTCTCTCCTGTGCAGCTCTGCAGTGTTGGCCGCCTCAGTCGCCGCGTTCAGTAATACATGTCATCGTGCACTGTTGGCTTATGGTTTGCGGGTGAGTAGGCCCATGGGATATGTAAACCACGATTGGATGTCGGTAGCGGGCGGATGCTGCGTAGCATTATGTGTGTATTCCGTCTCCCCTCTCAACCCTTCCCTTCCTCTCTTCCTCCTCCTCCTCCTCCTCCTCCTCCTCCTCCTCCTCCTCTGCCTCTTCTTCAATATTGGATGGGCTTTTAAGATTACGTGGTCATTCACGAAGCCTTGTCTCTGAGTTTTGAACACGGTTTTCCTCTAGCTTTTCAGCCTCGGTTGCGCGCAACGGCTCGCATGTCGCAGGTTGGCCTGAGCATCGTTCCAGGTGCGTTGGGGTACCTTTCCGTTTGGCCGAATCCCTGGCCGGAAGTTCGGCCACGTTCGCAGGACAACCTTCTGCGGCGAACGTCGGCGCGCTTGGCGAGGCGAGTGGCGTACAACAGCGCTGTCCGCTCCCATCCCCTGCTCCCCACGAAAAAAAAACAACAATTTTGGTGTCGGCGGCTGTGCAGGGGACGTCTGCGCTTGCGAAAGGGATCCCTGAGCAGGGCTGCCGTGACAGCGAAGCGCGCCACCGTGCGCGAGGAGGAGATGCGGGGCGGCGCGCCGCCGCGAGAGGGGAGCGGACGGAGCGAGCGGCTCTGGTGGGGGCGACGGATCGCTCCCCAACCCCGGCCCCGAAACCAAAAGGTTGCGTCCATGGACTGCAGCCGGCGAGCTGGGCGCGAGCTCGGGAGCTGGGCCGCCCGCCGCCGCCGGCGGCCACTCCTCCGCCTCCGCCTCCGCCTCCTCCTCCTCCTCCTCCTCCTCCTCCTCGTCCTCCTCCTCCTCCTCCTCCTCCTCCTCCTCCTCCTCCTCCTCCTCCTCCTCCTCCTCCTCCTCCTCCTCCTCCTCCTCGGGAGGAACGGAGAGGGCCACGCGCCCGCGGCCGCCCACGGGGGCGGCGGACGAGCCGCCAGCATGCGGCCGCAGCCCGGCCTGTGGGGGGCATCCCCCGGGCGGGCTGCCGAGGAAAAGCCGCAGGCACGACACCGAGTCTTGAGTCGGGCATGTTCCCTCACAGGAGGGACATATTCAGAAGCACTCAAAAATAGTCTGGGGGGACGATCTCCTGACGATTGTTGGCCATCTCGGGGCATTGTTTGAATATCTTTTCTCTTTCATCCCAAATCCGCCTGTAGGAGGACACGCCCGACGTAAGCTTACGCAGGACAGCGAGTCCGACACCTCGTCCCGGAGCAGGACGGGGGCGCCACCGGGGCCGAACCTCGGGCGCGGGAGGGGGGCCCGCGATCCGGGAGTGTGGCGCAAGTGGGGGGGCGATGAGTGGGGAGGTGAGGAGGGGTGCACCTCTCGTGCCCCAGAGGGGCCCCAAGAGGGACCACCTACCAAACCACCCCAACCCAACCCGAAGGCCTCAATTTGCCCTCCATTTCCAGTGTGGGGGGGGGGTCGGGGAACGTTGAAAAACACATGGAACCCGTACCCCCCCCAACCCGAAATTCGAGTCAAATTCGGGTCTTCGGGTTGGGGTGGTCTGGTAGGTAGTCAAAGAGGGACCCCTGGGGACCCAAAGGGGGATGGTCGACCCTCCTCCCTGGCGCACGCTGCACGCCAGGGGCGGCGCTAGAGGCGCCGCCAGGGGGCCCCAGCGCCGATCCGAGAAATCCGCGCGGACCTCCGAGTTCTTCTGTTTATGTCATTGTATGATTCCCGGGGTACCAGCGCGCGCAGCCACGGCCTCGGGGACTGCCTCTGCGGGTTCGAGTGCCAAGTGCCGGACCTTCCACTGGGCCTCGAGTGGGCACCCGACCCTCTGACGAAGGACCGGGAGCCTGCATCGTCGTGTGGGCCCGACCTCGGCCAGGCGTCGGACAGGCGAAGCGGCCCAACGCCCGTGACGCATCGCAATCACGGCGGGCCAGCCCCACCCTTCGAGGGCCCTGCGCTAGAGGGGAAAGCGGCACAGCAACGACGCCCGCTTCATGGGGCGGGGATCCCCATCCCACGGGCCCAGGCACCCCTTTGGGGGCGCGTGCCGCAGCGGCCGCCCAGTGGTTGGCCCCGGCGAGGGCACCGAAGAAGCAGGCGACCGGCCCGTGGGATCCGTCGAGTGAAGTCGCCGTAGAAGTGCTGCGCACGGGGGCGCACGATGGGAAGCCCGTCGTGTTCGTGCCTCCGCAGCACTGGGACCGCTCGGAGTGTCCCACGGCGGCGGCAACAGGCAGGAATCTCAGCGGCCGCGCGGCCCGCGCGCTCGCGGAGGAGGCGGGGGGGGGGTCCACCCCGGAGCCGTGCTGCGGGGAGCCCAACGTCATGAACCCACAGGCCACGGCAGCTGGGACATGACTCGAAATCCTTTAATGATCGTCCCCCGGCTGCTGTTTTTTGAGGCGCCGTTTTTTGGAAGCGGGGCGGTCCAGCTTTTTGAGGGTGGTTTCGTTAAACCAGGGACGAGGGGGTCTGGTTTATTACGGGGTTATCGCGTATTCGTTATTCTGCCCAAGTTGTTGTTGCAGTTCGCATGTTGTTCCGCTTTCGTAGCCGATGCTGCGAATCCTCATCGCCATCGTCATTTTCATCATTATCATACTGATCATCATCATCATCATCATCGTCATCATCATCATCATCGTCATCATCATCATCATCATCATCATCATCATCATCATCATCATCATCATCGTCATCGTCATCGTCATCGTCATCATCATCATCATCAACATCATCATCATCAGCATCATCATCATCATCATAAGCAGCAGCAGCAACAGCAGCAGCATCAGCGTCATCATTATCATCAGCACCATCATCATAACCACCATCATCATCACCATCATTACTATCACAAACATCACCACCATCATTTCCATCACCAGCATTACCAACATCAACACCAACACCATCATCACCAGCTTCTTATTGACCGCAGTGACACTTAGTTAACAGCACCGCTGCCATAATCACCATAATCGCAGAGAGCTGTCTGGAATATTAAGGCCCCCAGTTGACAACGGGGTCCGGGCAGTTAGATTGCAATTGAATGGGGGGTCCGTTGTTTTAGCGGGGATCGATTTTTCAGGGATTTCGAGTGCCGACAGGAGGCCGGCGCACGACTCCTACGCTCTCTCGAGGACCCCGCCGTCCCCCTGGCCGGTGGGGAGCTGCCGCGGGGCCCCGCTATACCACACGACAGGCGCCGAGGCAGAGGCCCTCAGCCCCACTGGGCGCGCGACGCTCACGATGGAGGGGCAGCTCGCCGTCGCCCGCTGGAGCGCTGGAGCGGGCGGGGAGCGCGGCGCAGCGGGGCAGAGCAGAGGGCCCCTCGAGCGGCGCGGGGTCCACCCGCACCGCACCGCCACCCGGACAGGTTCGCGCCGTGAGAGAAGTCCCGAGGGAAGGCTTCGGACCGTTTCCGGCACCTCGCGTCTCGGGGCCCTCGCCGGGCCCAACGGGGCCGTCAAGAACGACCCAGCATGGAAAACACCCCGCAGCGAAAACATATCAGGGCGGCGCATGCCTGGGCCCACGCCGCGAGCGGCCCGTCTGCGAGCGAAGCGCGGTCGGGACAGCTGCAGCCGCTGTCCTCGCTGCGGCCTGTCTACGCACGGGCTCCGGCGGGCGCGGCGCCCGCCGGGGCCCGCGGGGCGCGAGGGGGGCGGGCCCCGCCGCAGCGAGGTGCACGGAGCGGCCAGCCCCGCAGCCCCCCGGCCCGCCTTCTCGGGGCGAGGGCGCTCCGCCGCCGCCGCCGAGGGAGCCGCCACCCTCGGAGCAGGAAAAAAAAGGTACCCACGCCTCTATACCCTTCGCCCGGGTTCTCCCCTTCTTGGGCCTCCTCGGAGGCCCTCGTCGCCACCGTTGGGTGCGCCGTGAAGTTCTAGTCAGACCGATACCGCTACTCCCCGGACCGCTCCTGGTGGAGGGCGTTCTGACTCAGAACGCCCTCCACCAGGAGCGGTCCGAGGAGCAGCGGTGGATCGGTGCCCTCTTTGGCTTCCCCACCGCCGGGCCAGCAGGGAGCCACGGGGGGAGAGCCAGAGGCAAGCCATGGGGCGGTGGTGGTCTGGCGCCCGCCGTTCCCAATTGACACCCCCGCCGCCCCGCGAGCGCGGCAGGCAGGACAGTTCCAGGGAGGCAGAACCACGTCGACCCCGATACGTGGCGTTTACTAATCGGCCCTGGACGTTCACTAAGCAGCCCTGGCCTCTTCGATTCCTCCTTTGGGTGCGTTTACTAAGCGCCTTTGCCTGGTGTGCTGCTTATTCTTACGAGGGTGGTCGGCGGCGCAAGGGGCGACGGAGCCCCCTCCGCCAGAGCACCGCCGCCACCGCTGCCCGCGCAGCTCGGGCACTCCAGATTTCGTAATAAAGGGAGGGGGGTCTCATTTCGGGGGGGGTCTCTTCCAGGCTATCTTGGAGGGCCCGGGGGGGTCTGGGGACGATGCTTTGGGGGGCTCTCCCACGGGGGAGGTCTGAAATGGCTTGTAGTGGAGGGTCCAGACCCCCTCCCTTTTATTACGAAATCTGGACAAGGTTTCGGGGGCGAGGATTCAGGATTTGGGGCGCTCCTGGCCCCCTTCTGGCCCCTCAGAAGCCGCCAGGGGCCTGCAGGTGCCTCCAAAGATCTCACGGGAACCCTATGGGGACCTCCGGAGACCTATGGGGAAGGGGTTGATGAGGGAAGAAGTGGAGGAGGAGGAGGAGGAGGAGGAGGAGGAGGAGGAGGACGAGGACGAGGAGGAGCAGGAGGAGGAGGAGGAGTGGAAGGACAAAGGCCTGCGCGCTCGGGTATGGCCCCACCGACCGCTGCATGCGGTGCAGTAATTAGCAGCGGCCTGCGCGCTCGGAGATGGCCCCCACGCTCAGGCGCCCCCCACAGGCAGCCGCGCGCAAAAGGTCCTTCTTGCCTGGGGTCACTCTGACGTGCAGCCGACAATTCCGGAGGGAAAAAAACACACACAGACACAATGAGTCCTCGATTCCCCAGAAAATATGGGAAACTATGGGAAGTGGGGGGGCAGACAAAAACCCAGAAAGTATAGGAAAATTTGGGGATGTGTTGTTATTTGTGTGTATTTATTTGTGTGTCCCAGGGCCCCTTCAATAATGCTGAGATCCTGGCGTCTCAATTTGTTCGAGCCGAGCGTGTTCACCCATGTTCGGGCCCTGGGACCATCACAGGTCGATCCGCCTCCAGAAATGACGCAAGGAGAGATGGGTCTAGAGGGCTCTGGCCATTATGATTCTTCGCGAGCGCGCATCCTTTTTGCAACGTCGGACCTCAGGGAAGGATCAGGCCCCCGCAGAATGCCGGGCCTGGTGGGACTGCGGGGAGCCGGTCAGACCTGCCCCCAGGGAGCAGCCCTTGTCAGGGGGCCAGGGGGTCTTGCGCCCCTCAGGGAAAGGAGACTTCCCCTCAGCACTGCACAGCCCCCCCCCCCCCCAGGATTGGGTGCGGATCGCGGCGCGGAGCGCGCCCCGCCGGGGCCGAAGGGTACGGTGGGGAGGCAGCGCGGCCTGCGGCTTGCTGAACTCTCACGTCGCGTGGGAAGATGTTGCTGCCGCCCCCCCCCCACCTCCGCAACCCCTTCATGGTTTAGAGCATTAGCTGCCTCGATACGCCCGGCTCGAGACGCAACACGTGCCGCGCTTACACACGTCCGTGCCAATACGTTGCGTCTTGGCTTAGCGTATTGGCCCACGTTGTGGTGGACGCATCGCGTCAGGCCTACGTTTCCAGTCCCACGTGTTGAGCTCCGTGTCGGCACGCCACGTGCTGCGTGCTGCTTGTCGTGGCAGCTGCGTTCAGAGCACCTCAGCTGCCGGTATGGCTGCGCTCGTCGTGTGCTCGGAACGCGGGGAGTGCAGGGCGGGCTGCGCTGTGCCGCCTCCCCCCGTTCTCCCTTCCTCTTCTCCTGCGGTCGTCTGGCGCCGCAAAGTCGGCGATCCTCCCGCCCACCCTGCACCGTCCCTCGCGCTGCCTCCCGCCCGCAGCGGCGAGGAGGCGGCGCGGCCCCGCGCGTCTCCTCCTCCTCCTCCTCCTCCTCCTCCTCCTCCTCCTCCTCCTCCTCCTCCTCCTCCTCCTCCTCCTCCTCCTCCTCCTAGGTGGCTCCGCAGCGAGGCCCCGCGCGTGCCGTTTGCCCCGCGGCGGGCGCACGCGGGCGGGCCCGCGCCATCGGGGCCCCCAGCGCCGCCAGGCGGCGCGTCCAGCGAGGAGGAGGCGGCGGCGGCGCCGACAGGACGGCGACGCGCGAGCGCTCGCCCGCCTGGCACAGGCGAGAGCGCCGCGAGCGTGCCCAGGCGCGCCGCGACCTCAGGGCGAGGCTACAGTTCCAGCTGCTGAGCCAGCACCACGGCAGCACGCCCCCGACGTCGGCCAGCATGGGACGCTCTGCCGACTACACCGTATGCAAGTCCTGCGGACAGTGGTGGTGGAACTCGAAGCTGGAGGGCATGAACTACCGCTGCGGGACCTGCGACAAGATGCTTCCCAAGCCGAAGAGCCACAAGGGCCACGCGGCGGAGGCGGCGACCAGAGGAGGCGGCGGCAGCAGCGGCAGCGCGGGAGGCGGCAAGGCCAGCGGCAAGGGCAAAGGGCCCGAGCAGCTGGCGCAGGCGCTGCAGCTCATCACCGCCTCCCTCGGCCAGCTGCAGATCGAGGGCAGCGAGACGATCACAAAGCAGATCCAGGTGGCCACAACGGCACTGCAGACGGCCAAGACGACGGCCCCGCAGAAGCCGAGAGCCGAGAGGATGGCAGCCGCAGCACGATCACTGCAGACAGCCCAGCGGCAGTACTCGCAGGCGTTCGCGGCGAAGCAGAAAGCAGAGGAGGAGGCGCGCAAGGCGCGCGAGCTGCTGGAGGAGAGGGCCAGCGCAGTCCTGCAGGCCGAAGCGGAGTGCGACGCGATCCACCAGGAAGGAAAGCAGGCCCCCACGGCTGGCATCATCGAGCAGCTGGTGACGGGACAGCTCGATGAGCTAACAGGTGGACAGCTGGCGGAGGACATCAGCAAGGAGTTCGCGCTGGACGACGACGACTTGGATGAGGAAGCCAGGAAGCAAGTCGAGGAGGCCAAGGCACAGGTCGTCAAGCAGATGCAAGACAATGCCAAGCAGTTCCAGGGACACCTGCGAGAGCACCTGGCGAAAGCCAAGGCAGCCGCGATCGAGAAGCGGCAGGTGATCAAGCAGGAGGCCAAGAAGAGGAAGCTCGCCACAGGTGAACCTGCAGCGCCAGGCCCGAGGCCCCCAGAGGCAGTGCCCCCAGCGGCTGCGGCGGCGGCACCAGGTGCCACAGGCCCCGCCCAGGGCGCAGCCGAGGAGGCCTTCCTGGCCAGCAGGCGTGCGGCGGCGGCGCAGAGTGCGACGGGGGCCACAAGCCCCGCGACGCACTAGGGGCGCGCGCGAGGGCGGCGGCGGCATCATGTTGGCGACGCCGCAGCCCACGAGCGCACCCTCTTCTGCGCCAACATCTCGACCTGGGGACCCACAGCACGGCTGTGGCTACTGCAGCAGGGCATCGGAGGCAACGGCTTCGACATGCTGGCGCTGCAAGAGATGCACGTACTGCACTCTCAGTTAGACGACGCGGAGCAGGACCTTTGCAAAATGGGGTTCAGGGCTACCTGCACCGCGGCGAGAGCTAGTACGCGATCGGAGAAAGGCAGCTGTGGGGGCACGGCAGTCATCTCCAAGGGGCACTTGCGCGTCACCAGCTTCAGACACTTGGCCAGAGCTCGGCAGGTCTCGAATGCCACGGCTGACATTCGACGAGGCGCCGACCGAGCAGGAGGCTTCGACATGTGCGACTGGACACCAGTCACCTGGCACCTGAAGGGCACTACGCTCACCGTCGTCAGCCTCTACCTGGACTGCAACAGGTCGCTGACCGACGGCATCAACAGCCGCAAGCTCACCGCGCTGGCCGCGTTCCTCAAGACGCTGCAAGGGGCGTGGGTGGTGTGCGGCGACTTCAACACAGACCCGAAGACGTTGGGCGACGGGCTGGCCAAAGGCGATGGGCGCGAGCGCCATCATCTCATTGCCTGAGGACCAGCACACCTGCTTCCTCGCGGAGCAGGAGCCCTCCCACATCGACTTCGCGATGACGAACGACGCAGGCAGCAAGCTGATCACAGGAGTCGAAGGCGTCTACGACGTACCATGGAAGCCACATATCGGACTGAAGTTCACAATTCGTGGACAGGGACTTGCGACGCAGTGTAGGACGATCAACCTGCCGAAGGCGTTCCCGCACCCACCGCGGAAGGGCAAGGCGCCCAACCCGCAGAGCAAGAGAACTAAGAGACGCCTGCAGGCCAAGGCCAAAGAGGAGGCCGAGGCCATCGCTGCTGGATCCCAGACCATGGAGATCGGCGGCAAGAACGTGGAGGAGCTGGACGACGAGCGCTGGGAGGCACTCTCCCCAGTCGCAGGCTGGGCCAGCTTCCCGAACACCGTGCGCGACGAGGTCGGCCAGGGCACGGCGCCCAGGCCCCCGTCTCCACCTCGCCCCCCCTGCTCCGTCGGCCCAGCCCCTCTGGGCGGGCACGGGGGACCAGGCAGAGACGGCGCAGAGGCCCACGTGCAAGAGGAGTACAGGCACCACATGGACGACGATGAGGTCGACGTGTTCGCAGACCTGGACCCCGAGGACGAGGCCGAGGCAATCAGGATGTGCGACGAGTTCGGCCAGGACCTGGAGCAGAGCTGCATGCCGCCAGTGAGTCAGAACGCGTCAAATCCCACGACGGTGCTCCTCGAGCCGTACGTGGGTTCACCGTCGCCTGTAAGTTTTGCAATTTCTGGCGCATGCATCTACGACCCCACCCGGCGTCAGATCGCAAGTCCCACATCGGCGCTCCTCGAACCGATGGTGGGCACTGGCAGTCAGAACGCACGCCGCAGCTTCGACACCGTCGGGCGTCAGAATGCAAGACCCCCCTCGGTGCCCCTCGAGCCGACGGGGGGCTCAGCGTCGCCACAGAGCCACACCAACATCGACGGGAGTCAGAGCGCAAATCCCACCACGGCACCGCCGTCGGTGGGGTCAACGTCGCCACGACTCGAAACTAGAGGAGAAGACACGACCGAGATGGGAGAGCTCTGGGAAATGATGGAGCTGGCTGCAGAGGCACCCGTGGAGAAAGAGGCCCCAGAGTACATCGCCAAGTGCGCCGCGTACCAAGCGACCACGCAAGCCTCCAGGGACCTCAGCCTGAGCTTCTCCTCCATCATGAACACGATGGAGCACTTCTACTGCATGGCGTACCGCATCGACCCCCTTGACCGTGCGAAGTACTGCGGCAGAGGCGACCCGAGAACATTCACCATGCGCAAAGGCAAAGAGAAGCACGAGAGGAGAGAGCGGTATGCAAACCGCAGAGCTGACTGGTGGAGCAGAGCCGAGAACACCCTGTCCTTGCTGGCGAGGCTGCGCAAGAAGAACAGGGACGTGAGGCAGCAGCTGCACCTAGAGGCCGCAGGCAGACACCTCGCCTACGACGGCCTCCCGAACACCAGCGACCAGGCATCGGACACGGCGAAGCTACACCGAGAGATCTGGAGAAAGAGGCTGACAGACTTAAGCAAGGTCGACACAGACGTAATCCTGGGCATGGCGCAGCAGGCAGAGCAGGAGAAGCGGCTCGCACTCAAGAGGGACCTCCAAGAGAATTCGCGGGCCTTCGCACAGTGGCTGGCGCGGGCTGAGAAGGACGTCGGCGTGCTGCACCGCATCACGAAGCCACCGCCCAGGCGTGAGGAGGAGGTTGTTACTCATGAAGGGGTGCTGGACTGCCCCACCAAGATAGTCGACGAGAAAGCGAAGGCGTTCCAGGACATCTGGAAGTGCGACCGACTCAAGCACGAGCAGCACACCGAAGTTCTACAGCAACTACGGGAGCGCGCACGTGCAGAGGCGGCCCCAGAATGGACGCTCGAGGACCTAGACGAGGCCCTCAGAGGAGAGCCCGACAAGGGCAAGGGCATCGACATGCTGGTGTGCTCCGACATCCGCAGGCTGCCGCCCGAAGGCCGCCAGAGGATCGTCGAGTTCTTCAACTCATGCGAGCAGGCGCTCGCATGGCCGTGGCAGCTGCTGTGCGAGATCGTGATGCTCACGCCCAAGCCAGCCAAGGGCGACAGGGCCCTCGCCCTGCTGCCGCAGATGGTGCGCTGCTGGGAGTTGCTCCACAGGCCCGCGGTAAGGCGCTGGGCTAAGCAGCAAGAGAGAGAGTGGGACGCCGCCGTGGCGGGCAACAGCTGCCTGCGCGAGGCGATGAGGAGAGTCATCAGCGACGAGTGCTGCGACGCGCTCCAGCTGTTCCACGGCAACCTGCTCGCGGACATCGAGAAGTTCTACGACAGCCTTCAGCTCGACTGCGTGATCGAGGCGGGCCTGAGGATGGACTTCCGCCCCCGCCTGCTGACGATGATGTTGCTGCAGCACTCAGCCACGAGGGTGCTGCGGTGGAAAGGTGCCTTCCCGTCACCTACCTGGGCTGACAGGTCGCTGCTGGCAGGCTCGAGGCACTCCAACAACCTGGCCAAGACGGTGGTCTACTCCGTCATTGGCAGGATGCTGGAGAACTCACAGGCGCTGCCCAAGCCGCTGCCGAGGGCCTGGTTCGACGACATCAGCATCCGCATCCTGGGCAGCGCAGAGGCAGTCGAGCAGGAACTGACGGCGGTCACGATGGGGCTACGCGACGGTCTACGTGCACAGGGACTCTCGCTCGCGGACAAGACCGTCATCTTCAGCACCAACGACCGCACCACCAAGAGAGTACAGAAGGCGCTGCACAAGGTGGACCTACCCGTCCAGGCCGTCACTGAGGGCCGCGACCTGGGAATTGACAGAGGCGCAAGAGGCACGCTGAAAAGGGACACCCACAGAAAGAGGACGAAGCAAGCCTTCACGCGCTGCGGCCATGTGGGCAAGAAGCTCAAGAGGCTCAGGCTGCGGCGGAGGAGAGGCATCCTGCACCAAGGAGCGGTGGCCTCCTACATGTACGGCGCGACGGTGCACGGCATGGCACCCTGGGCGCGGCAGAAGGCGAGGAGGAGGTATGCACAGGCTCTGAGGAGGCCGTGGCCAGGCCGCTGCCTCACCACGTTCCTGGCGCTGGAGGGTGCCGACCCCGCGACCACTGCGGTGAAGGCGCAGCTGAAGACGTGGTTCGAGGTCTGGGCCCGCAGCCCCGACATCAGAGCGCAGGTCAAGCTTGCCTGGCCGAAGATCTACTTCCAGCTCCGCAAGATCAGGGCAGACAAGAGGTGGCAGGCGCGCAAGGGGCCGCTGGCCAGCCTGATTCTCCTGCTGTGGGAGGTAGGCTGGGACTCCAGGGGACCAGACGTCTGGATCGACAGGCAAGGGGACTACTGGAGGTTCAACACCGATGAGCAGGGCGGCGACTACACAGAGATCGTGGACGCGCTCCTGCAGGATATCCAAGACCAGCTGTGGGAGACGGCATCACAGCACCACAACGGCGGAGGGCTTCAATTTGGTGCGGACGTGACAGACCTTAAGAAGCACCTCAACCAGCTCGCCAAGAAGGAGCACCACGGCACGTACGGCGCGCTCCTCACGGCAGCGTGTGCAGGCACCTGGACGAGGCGGCGCAAGCACGAGACCTTCGGCGGCGAGGAGGACATGTGCGAGTGCGGCAGACCAGAGGATGATGCACACAGGATCTGGGGCCACTGTGCGGCCCGAGCCGACTGCGAGGTCATCCGCAAGACAGAGGGCCTGGCACGCAGGGCCATCGAGGGAGCCAAGGAGAACCCCGCCTTCTGGCTCAGAGGCATCACGCCCAAGAAGTGGTCCACGCCGCCCAAGTGCGACACCCAGCACGTCGAGCACACCGTGGGCGCCTGCATCACCAACATCAGGCTCTCCGCCAGCGACGGCGGCGAGATCACGGGCTGCGGCGACGGCTCAGGAGGCGAGTACAGCGCAGACGAGAGATACTGCCGCTGCGGCTGGGGCTGGGTGCTGCTGAAGGAGGGCGACGACACCGACGAGATCGCGGGCGCCAGATTCGGCCCACTGCCAGGACCGAGGCAAACCAACAACAGGGCGGAGCTCTTCAGCCTGATCAGCTTCGTCAACGCCACGGAGGGTAAGGCCAGCTTCTGGACCGACAGCGAGGTCACCTGCCTGGGCTGGGCGGCGCGACGTGAGGAGACCACATGGCTCGGCTGCACGAACGGGGACTTGTGGCACCAGCTGGGCGAGGCGATCCGTGCGCGAGGAGGCGACCGCAACGACATCAGCGTGCACCACCTCAACAGCCACATGACTGAGCAGGAGGCCATCGCGAAGGGCATCACGAGGCGCATCTGGGCAGGCAACCAGGCCGCCGGCCAGTACGCAGACGCAGGCGCCAAGACCCACGCGATCAGCGACACCGAGATGAGCTGCTACGAGTGGGTGAAAGCGACGGCGCACCTGGTGAGGCTCAGGATCGCTGCAACCACCAAGGACGTCATCACCAGAAGGCCGCCAGACGAGAAGGAGATGAGAGAGGCCCGCCGCGCTCAGGCTAAGAAGCGACGGCAGGACACCGTGCGCAAGAAGGACCTGCTGGGGGACAACCACTCGCGGCGGCCACCCACACAACATGTCCTGGCACGAGATCGTCGAGGCACAGGATGGACGTGCATTACCTGCTGGCAGTCAGTCTCCAGTACGACGACGGCGCAGAACATCCACAGCTGGCTGACGCAGGAGTGCAGTGGCCCACCGCCCGAGACGGCGATCACGGTCACCAAGTTCGGCATCGAGTCGCACCCCGCACACAAGCTGAGGCGGCTGAGGAGGCACAACAGGTGGTTCTGCGAGAAGTGCGGAGGCGCCACCACTGAGCTGATCGCCAAGAAGCTGCAGGAGCCTTGCTGCGGTCACACGGCATGCGACAGCGGACACTACAGACTACAGGGGTGGCTGAGACAAGCGGCGCGAGAGCAGGGCACCTGCGACAGGCACCGCGCACTGAGCGACCCTGAGGACGAGGAGTACGAGGAGCAGCTTGCAGAGGCCAGCAGTAGCCAGAGCACGGAGGTCGACACGGCAGGGGGCACAAGTGGTGTTTCCTGGCGAAATAAACGGGAAGAGCCACCCTGCCGTCTGCGGGAGAAGTGCCGAGGCTACAATGCGGGCGCGCTGGAGGCGACCAGGAGAGCTACGACGCCTACGGAGCCCAGCAGCCCGCCCGCCCCCCCAGCTGCAGGAGCAGACCGAGGGCCCGCGGCGCGGGACAGGGCTCGTCGGGCCGCGTCGGCCAGAGCGAGAGCGCGCTGCGAGGCAGCAGGCGCGCGGCCCGACGGCGGAGACAGAGGAGAGCAGAGGACACGGAGATCTGATAGCGAGAGGAGAAGAGCCGAGGAGCCGATAGTGAGACGCCTGCTGGACGCGACCGCCACACCAGCACCGACGCCGCCACCGACGACAGCACCACCAGCAGCAGCAGACCAACGTGACGAAGCTGAGGCCGCACGCCGTGCCGCCTCGCGAGCGCTGCTGGAGGAGGAGAGGCGGCGCGCGGCGCGCCCGCCGCCAGGGGCGAGAGGGGCCCGCGCGGCGAGCGCCGCCCCGCCGCTGCCGCTGGGCGCGCTGCGCCGGCTCTTGGACGAGGGAGAGCGGCCCGCGGGGCGGGTGAGGACCACGCGAGGCGGAGCTGGTGGCAGAAGATGTGGTCTCCCCGCCCCGCGGCGAGAGGGCTGGGCTGCGGAGCCGCCCGCGGGCCCCTCGGCTGCTCGGCACGTCCCCTGATGCCGAGGACCGCGGCGGCCTGAGTGGCGCCGAGAGCGGCGCCCCCGCGCGCGCGCGCCGACAGCGCCGCGCGGGTTGCCACGACGTGGCGGCTCGAAAGAGCTCGAAAGAGCTCCTCCTCCTCCTCCTCCTCCTCCTCCTGAAGTCAGCCTGTGCCACTGGAAAAAGCTGGTGCCGCTCCCCTGCCCCGGCAGTCCCCTGAGGGTTCGGAGCACCTCAGCTGGCAGCTGGCAATCAACACCTGAAAAATACATTGGTTTGGCATGTTGAGGTTCGGTTGGTGGTCCTCTTGGGGCCCTCGTGGGGCGTCGCCTGGGCCTCGTGGGCTGTCCTGAGGCCATCTTGGATGTTCTTGAGTCTTGAGGCCCAACGAGCATGTCGGAGCCCTTATGGAGCCTTCTTGGAGGCGTGCCAGGGTGAGTTCGGAAGTTCGCAAAGCTCCAGGGGCGGGTTGAAGAGCTCGTTTCCCCCCCCGTCCCCGCCCTCCCCCTAATACGGGAGGGACTTTTGACTCTTGTGGGGAGAGGGGGGGGTGAGGAGGGGATCTGTCAATCATATCACACGCTTTTATGCTCACCCCCGGCAAGCGGGGATCGGCGGATTTCGATGATCGGATGCAGCCCGATGTTTACATGGTGTTGCTAATCATGGATCCTGGCGCGGCCGATTCGATTCGATTCCGACTCCGTGCCGTTTCGGCCCGACCTGGCTTATGTGCCGATCCGATCTGATTTCGCGATTCGATTTTGGTTGCTCCTGCAAGGGCGTGGAGGACTGGGCGGAGGTGTACCACGGCTGGGAGAGCAGTGTTGCGGCCTTGGGCCCGTTCCCCGTCGGCACCTACGAGTTCATGGTCCGCGCCCGGAACAGCGTCGGTTGGGGCGAGTGGAGCGACGTGATAGTCGTGACGTTGACCGACCCCAAGTGGGAGAAGCAGCAGAAGAGGGAGGCGGAGCAGCAGGTCATGCGGGAGCAGGCAAAGACGCTTCAGTGGGACCTGCAGCAGATCGTCGAGGAGTTCGAGGGGATGCAGGGCGAGAACAAACTGACCATCCATAGGGCATCGAACCTCCTCTTCCACCTCCAGGCCGAGCTGAAGCGGGCACGGACCGTGCGCGCCTACATGGCCAAGCCCGCGGTGATGCGGGAGGCCGAGGCAGCCGTGAGGCTGCTGGAGAAGTGGCGGGACCGGAAGGAGGCGTTCGCGGAGTGGAGGCAGACGCTCTCTGAGATGCGTGGCCAGTTGCTCCAGGAGAGGGGAGGATGAAAGACAGCTATAATGGAGGATGACGATTAATAAATGACCGGGGGTCGTGTTCTCGCGGCGGCGCCCGGGATGACGATTAGAAAAAAACCGGCCGCGGGCTGGAAAACTATTTTTTTACCGTTCTCCTCCAGTCAGAAAATTATGCAGAAATAGCAGGAAACTATTTGTTTAATCGTTCTCTCTCATTTTTTAATTAGTCGTCATCCCGCATTAGCTGTGTGCCCCGTCTGTGTCCGCGACTGCTTCGCACCAACCTCTCCTCCCGAGCCAGCGGATCCAGGATCGCAGGGAGCCAGCTCCTCTAGGTTAGGGAGCAGCCTCCCTGACCATCCCCATCCTGGTTAGGGCGGAGCTTCTCGAACCATCCTATGGAGGAAGGCGCCTTCCCAGCCATCCCCTCTCGGACATAAAAGAGTCTCCTCAACTGTCCTGGCCAGGGGGGGGCCTCCCTGCTCATCCTGGTTAAAGCGGTGCCTACCTAACCGCCCCCTCTTGGCCCCCCCCCCCCCACACACCCCTCTTGGTCATGGACGAGCCCCCCATCACCATCCTGAATAGGGAGAGTATTTCCCAACAACCTTCTTTGTCAGGAAAGAGCCTCCCTAGTTAACAATCCCGGGTCAGGAGGTGCCTCCCTGCCCAACACCTCTTGGATACGACGAGCAGCACCAGCAACATCAGAGGGAGGAAGGCAGAAACGTGAAGGCACCCACAACGGCCCACCTGATTTCGGGCGAAGGCATGCAACTGGTGACAAATCCTCAGAGTGGCGAGCCGTTCTTGAGTTACGTTGCGCGGTACGAGGACGCTTGCTTTTCTGGTTGTGTCTTTTCTTATCTTTCTCGCTACTATACACTGAAGTCCGCATATGGCGCCAGCATGAATGCGTAGTCCTTTCTAGTTACGGATAAGAGTAAGGGGCGCGGGGGATCGAAAGCATAGAAGTGACTCCATAGCCAATTCAAAACAATCCGCTGCAGGGGCCAATTTTGCTATTGAAAGAGATGCGGGTATGCCGATCCGCCGCACGCGCCGATTTAGTTGAAGCAATATCGCGGTTGGGTCGCGGGCGCGTGTGGGTCGCGGCGCGGGTGGTCGCAGGTGGGCCGTGGGTGGGTCGCGGCGCGTGTGGGTCGCGGGCAGGTCACGGGTCTGGGCGTAGGGCGACGACAACAACAACCATCATTACAGCCGCACATCCTGGGACAATACAAGGCCGTTCGGCCCCCTCAATCAGATGTCATTGGCTGTCTCAAACAGCTGATCAGCAAGATGGGCACGAAGTCAAAGGAGGGCCCCGAAAGGGCCCCAAAGGAAAAGATAAAGGGAGGAAATACAGTCGACTCGCATAGTACGGATGAGCAACTTTCCAAGGTTACCCTTGCATCCTTCCCCTTCGGCCCATCCTTGGCCGCTCTCGCTGGCCGCGCCCCGCTCGCAAAGTGTCGACATCCGAATCGTGGGTTCGTATTCTACGGGCTGATTGCATGCCAAGCTCAGGTTGGAACGCCCCCCCAACAAAAATCCAGAAGCACGCAAGGGAGGGACGCGCAGCACCCGTAGCCGACCATCGACACCCATAGCCGGAGCGCCGAAGTGGGCCAAAGGAAGAGATGGCAACGTCAGACTCCGAAACAAACAACGACATGCACCACCTTTGAGGACGAAAACATCAGGAGGGAAAGAAACACACAGACACCATTAATCGGCGATTCCCTTACAAAATATGGGAAAATATGGGAAGTGGGGGGGAAGACAAAAAACCCAGAAAATATTGGAAAATATTGGGACTATTGTTATTTGTGTGTATTTATTTGTGTGTCCTGGGGCCCCTTCAAAACAACAAAAACATCATCCAACCACATCGGATCGGAGAACTGCCTTGGCAGCCCACCGCCCCAGAGCACGCAGCACAGAGCACGGCGTGTCTGGAAAGCAAACGCCACACGTGTGCGAAGCGCACGAGGGCAATCACGAGAGCCCTGCGGAGGACGAGGGAGGAGTCCGGCACACGACCAATATTGGGCTTCCCTGCCTCCCTTCTCCAGGAGTGCCCCGCCGCCGCGGTCTCCGCCGAGCGCGACCGGGAGGCGGGCGACCTGCACCACTTCCTGGGCCAGGACGAGCACTATTTCGGCTCGCTGAGCCCAGAGATCCGGAACCTGATTGTGCAGACCCTGCTGGGCCTGGACGCCAAGGGAGTGTTCAAGAAGCTGACTCCGCCGCAGAAGGAGCTGATCCTGAGCGTGCTGCGGCGCGGCGCGGAGCTGGGGCGCGCGCCGCTGCCAGCCGGGTCGGAGACTCCCCAGGGTGACGCGGGCGGCAGGGGCACGCCTTCGTCCGCCGCGGAGAAGAGCAGGATCGGGGGGCAACGATAGGGGGGGATAGGCATAGGGGGGGATGCGGCGACCACCGCTCGCTGCATGGGAGGGATGCACAGGCATAGGGGGGGGGGGGATAGGCATAGGGTAGGATGCATCGGGGGGGATGCCAGTCCCCCCTACCGTTGAAACCTCACAGGACAATATTCACGAGGCACCAGACGGAGCAGCTGCTGCGGCTCGCCGAGCGTTTTGCAGGCGCTCACTGCCGCGCCGCTGCGGCGCCCGCCTCGCCGTCCTCGGGCGCCCTGCGCGGGGCCGGCGACAGGGGGCTCAGCGATTTCGACGCCCCCGAGGAGGTCCAGGAGGGAAAAATATATACAGACACCAGCAGAAGTCGATTCTCAGGAAAATGTGTGAAACCATGGGACGTGGAGGGGAAGGCACAAGTCCAGAAAATACTACGAAATATTGGGAAGTGTCTATCTATACATATGTGTGTGTGTTGTGTTGTGTTGTGTTGTGTTGTGTTGTGTTGTGTTGTGTTGTGTTGTGTTGTGGTGTGGTGTGGTGTGGTGTGGTGTGGTGTGGTGTGGTGTGGTGTGGTGTGGTGTGGTGTGGTGTGGTGTGTTGTGTGTGGTGTGGTGTGGTGTGGTGTGGTGTGGTGTGGTGTGGTGTGGTGTGTTGTGTTGTGTTGTGTTGTGTTGTGTTGTGTTGTGTTGTGTTGTGTTGTGTTGTGTTGTGTTGTGTTGTGTTGTGTTGTGTTGTGTTGTGTTGTGTTGTGTTGTGTTGTGTTGTGTTGTGTGTGTTGTGTTGTGTGGTGTGGTGTGGTGTGGTGTGGTGTGGTGTGGTGTGGTGTGGTGTGGTGTGGTGTGGTGTGGTGTGGTGTGGTGTGGTGTGGTGTGGTGTGGTGTGGTGTGGTGTGGTGTGGTGTGTGTGTGTATTCCTCTTTCTACATTTTTGCAAGCCCGGGCGGGGGGGAAACCCTCCCCCCCCCCAAAAAAAAACTGCCGGGATCTGGGGCTTTGGGACCCTCCAGACGGGCCTCGAAGCGGCCCCCCGGGCCTCGCAGGGCGTGGCGCGCTCCCGAAACGACCCCAGAGAGCCCCAATACGGTCCACGACCACCTCCAAGAAGCCGTCATACCCCCAAAGATCGTCCCGAAACGTCCCAAGAGGCCTGCAAGAGCACTCCCAAGAAGGCCCCAAGAGTCAAAAATCATTGATTTTCTGTTGGTTTTCTGTTTATTTTGGGGTTCTCCTCTTTTCGGCTTCCCGACCCTCCAAGACGGCGGTCTTCTGGGCGTCCGAAGCCGCCTGGGAGGCTCCAAAATCGCCCCACAACCATCCGAAAGGGCTTCCAGGCGGTCCAAGAGAGCCCCAAAACGGGCCAACAGGGGTCCAAGATGGCCCTCAGAGTGCCCCATGGCGGCCCAAGATGGCCCCAAGACACACTCCGAAGCATTCCAAACCGTGACCCAGTCGTTCAGGGAGACCGCGGTTGGAGGCAGGGTGTCCCGAGGAAGCCCCCAGAGGCCCCCAGAACACGCCCAGGAGGCTTCCAGAAGGCCTTAAGAAAGCTTGAAACAACTTTTGTGAGGCCCCCAAGGGCTCTCCAAGGAGGAGCCTCCGCAAAAAGAGCTGCGGAGGATGGGGAGAATGCGCAGGGCATGGCGAACATGAGGAAAAAGAAGCATGGAGGAAAGATCGGAGGTGAGGGGGTGAGATCGAAGTGGAACGGAGAGCCCCCCTACCGGGAAATCGATTTCGGTTTCGTGTTCGTGCGTGCCGTGCGCGTGGGCGAGGCGAAGCTGCGTGGGCGGGCGAGATGAAAGTCTCCTGTGGCTGAGGCGCGGCCGCGGACCAAATGTGTCTCTTCGGGGCGGCCGGTGGCGCGCGGTGTCCCGCCGGTGTCCCGCTGGTGTCCCGTCGGTGTCCCTGTGGCTGAGGCGCGGCCGGACCAAATGTTTCTCTTCCGGGCGGCCGGTGGCGCGCGGTGTCCCGCCGGTGTCCCTCCGGTGTCCCGTCGGTGCCCCGATGATGATGTTGATTATGATTATGATGATGATTATGATGATGATGGTGATGATGATGGTGATGATGATGATGTTGATGATGGCGATGATGATGATGATGATGATGATGATGATGATGATGATGATGATGATGATGATGATGATGTTGATGTTGATGTTGATGATGATGATGACGTCGATTGTGAGATCGATTTTGATATCGATAGTGAGATCGATTGTGAGATCGATAGTCAGATCGATTGTGAGATGATGATGGTGATGATGGTGAAGATGATGGTGGTGATGATGATGAAGACGCTGATGATGGTGATGATGATGGTGTCCCGATGACGATGATGTTGATGATAATGCTGATGATGGTGATGATGATGTTGATCATGATGATGATGATGGTGTCCCGATGATGATGATGATGATGACGTTGATGATGATGATGCCGATTATGATGATGGTGTCCCGATGGTGATGATGATGATGATGATTATTATGTTGATGATGATGACGATGATGGTGTCCCGATGATGATGATTATTATGATGATGATGGCGATGTTGAGGATGATGATGAGATGATGATGGTGATGGTGTCCCGATGATGATGGTGTTGATGATCATGTTGATGATGACTATGGTGTCCCGATGATGATGACTATGATGGTGATGATGATGAGGAGGACTGATGATGGTGATGATGATGGTGTCCCGATGATGATAATGATGATGATGTTGATGATGACGATTGCGAGACCGAATGTGAGATCTATTGCGAGATCGATTGTGATATCAATAGTGAGATCGACTGTGAGATCGATAATGAGATCGGTTGTGAGATCGATAGTGAAACCGAATGTGAAACCGAATGTGAGATCGATTGCGAGATCGATTGTGAGATCGATCGTGAGATCGATAGTGAGACCGCATGTGAGACCGAATGTGAGATCGACTGTGAGATCGATCATGAGATCGATAGTGAGATCGACAGTGAGACCGAATGTGAGACCGAATGTGAGATCGATTGTGAGATCGACAGTGAGATCGATAACCCGGTAGGGTCTTTAGAAAAGGGCCCCCCCCCTGGTTCTCTCTCCGGGGAATAAAACTCCGCGCCCCCCCGTCCTCCCCCCCCCCCTCCCCCCGTCCTCCCCCCTCGCTCCCTCTCCCTCCCCCCACTGAGGACCTCCCGCAAGCTACGAGGACTGAGGACCTCTCGCAAGCTACGAGGACTGTAGTAGTAGTAGTAGTAGTAGTAGTAGTAGTAGTAGTAGTAGTAGTAGTAGTAGTAGTAGTAGTAGTAGTAGTAGTAGTAGTAGTAGTAGTAGAGTAGTCGTAGTAGTAGTAGTAGTAGTAGTAGTAGTAGTAGTAGTAGTAGTAGTAGTAGTAGTAGTAGTAGTAGTAGTAGTAGTAGTAGTAGTTAGTAGTAGTAGTAGTAGTAGTAGTAGTAGTAGTAGTAGTAGTAGTAGTAGTAGTAGTAGTAGTAGTAGTAGTAGTAGTAGTAGTAGTAGTAGTAGTAGTAGTAGTAGTAGTAGTAGAGTAGTAGCTGTTGTGGTAGTAGTAGTAGTAGTAGTAGTAGTGGTAGTAGTAATGTCGTAGTAGTAGTAGTAGTAGTAGTAGTAGTAGTAGTAGTAGTAGTAGTAGTAGTAGTAGTAGTAGTAGTAGCAGTAGTAGTAGTAGTAGTAGTAGTAGTAGTAGTAGTAGTAGTAGTAGTAGTAGTAGTAGTAGTAGTAGTAGTAATAGTAGTCGTAGTAGTAGTAGTAGTAGTAGTAGTAGTAGCAGCAGTAGCAGTAGTAGTCGTAGTAGTAGTAGTGTTAGTAGTAGTAGTAGCAGTAGTAGTAGTAGTAGTAGTAGTAGAAGTTGTAGTCGTAGTAGTGGTGGTCGTAGTAGTAGTAGTAGTGGTAGTAGTAGTAGTAGTAGTAGTAGCAGTAGTAGTAGTAGTAGTAGCAGAGGTAGTAGTAGTAATTGTAGTAGTAGTAGTAGTAGTAGTAGTGGTGGTGGTGGTGGTGGTGGTGGTGGTAGTAGTAGTAGTAGTAGTAGTAGTAGTAGTAGCAGTAGTAGTAGTAGTCGTAGTAGTAGTAGTAGTAGTCGTCGTCGTAGTAGTAGTAGTAGCAGTAGTAGTAGTAGTCGTAGTAGTAGTCGTAGTAGTAGTAGTAGTAGTAGTAGTAGTAGTAGAACTTGTAGTGGCCGTAGTGAGCAGTAGTGGATAGGATTCCCATTATTGTTCGCCGTGCTGGTTGTTGGTGGGTGGTTATCTCTCCTGGAAAAGAACCTCGCGTGGGCTACCATACACGGGGGAGGTTTCCCGAGCCTGTCCGTACAAGGATCGTAGTACAAGATCGCTCCGTCTCAGGTCGCTGCTCATGTTCAGTCAGTCCACATCAACCCAGTCAGTTCCCATCAGTCCCCATCATCCCAATCAGTCCCCATCTTCCCAATCAGTCCAATGAACGCCAATCAACCGAATCAGTCCCCATCAGTCCAATCTGACCCATCAGTCCAATCAGTCCCCCCCTGCCCGCTGGGCCAGGATCCGAATCACGATATTTTTCGCCGTGCTGGGTATTGGTGAGTGGTTCTTTCTCTTGGAAAACAACCCCGCGTGGGCTACCCTACACGGAGGAGGTTCTCGGAACCTGTTCGTGCAAGGCACGTAGTACAAGATCGCTCCGTCTCGAATCGCTGTTCAGTGTCAGTCAGTCCAAATCTATCCAGTCAGTCCCCATCAGTCCCCATCATCCCAAGCAGTCCCCATCATTCCAATCAGTCCAATCAATGCCAATCAACCGAATCAGTCCCCATCATACCAATCTGACCCGTCAGTCCAATCAGTCCCTCCCTGCCCGCCCGGCCAGGATTCGATTCCCGATATTATTCGCCGTGTTGGGTATTGGTGGGTGGTTCTTTCTCTTGGAAAACAACCCCGCGTGGGCTACCCTACACGGAGGGGGTTTTCGGAGCCTGTTCGTGCAAGGCACGTAGTACAAGATCGCTCCGTCTCGAACCGCTGTTCAGTGTCAGTCAGTCCAAATCAATCCAGTCAGCCCCCATCAGTCCCCATCACCCCAAGCAGTCCCCATCATTCCAATCAGTCCAATTAATGCCAATCAACCCGATCAGTCCCCATCAGTCCAATCTGATCCATCAGTCCAATGAGTCCCTCCCTGCCCGCTCGGCCAGGATTCGATTCCCGTTATTGGTCGCCGTGCTGGGTATTGGTGGGTGGTTTTTTCTTGTGGAAAACAACCCCGCGTGGGCTACCCCTACACGGGGGAGGTTTTCGGAGCCTGTTCGTGCAAAGCGCGTAGTACAAGATCGTTCCGTCTCAGGTCGCTGCTCATGTTCAGCCAGTCCACATCAACCCAGTCAGTCCCCATCAGTCCCCATCATCCCAATCAGTCCCCATCTTCCCAATCAGTCCTATGAGCGCCAATCAACCGAATCAGTCCCCATCATACCAATCTGACCCGTCAGTCCAATCAGTCCCTCCCTGCCCGCTCGGCCAGGATTCGAATCCCGATATTGTTCGCCGTGCTGGGTATTGGTGGGTGGTTCTTTCTCTTGGAAAACAACCCCGCGTGGGCTACCCTACACGGGGGAGGTTTTCGGAGCCTGTTCGTGCAAGGCACGTGGTACAAGGTTTTCCTTAGGTGTTCCTTCGGTTTTCCTTAGGTTGTCTTTCGGTTTTCCTAGGTTGTCCTTACGTCCTCCTTAGGCAGCCGTAAGTTTTCCTTAGGATGGATAAATCGAGGATGAAGTTTATCACGGTCCTCGTGGGTTCCCTCCCTCCCCGTGGGGCCCGTGTTCCACACGGAAAATAATATGTTCCATTACTGTTGGGGTCCCAGTCCGTCAATAAGCCCGCGGGACAACCATAGATTTGCGCACAATTGGGGGGGGGTTCAAAAGACCCTTAAGGGTTAGTGAGATCGATAGCGAGATCGATAGTGCTATCGATAGTGATATCGATAGTGATATCGAATGTGAGATCGATTGTGAGATCGATAGCGAGATCGATTGAGTGAGACGTTGGTTCCCCCTTCCCCCTCACCTCCTTATCACCCGCAGGGTGGTCGTATAGGTAACGAATAGCATTATTATAGCGGCGATGCCAGAAAAGGCAACAAGGGGTTATCGCTAAATTGCCGGTTTGGCCTTCCTGCTAGTCCGCTTGCGCAACAAATTTCTAGGACCAAGGCGCATGGCACGAAGCGCCAATGCAGTCTTGGTGTGTGTGTATGTGTGTGTGCGTGTGTGTGTGTGTGTGCGTGTGTGTGTGCGTGTGTGTGTGTGTGCGTGTGTGCGTGTGTGTGTACGTGTGTGTGTGCGTCTGTGTGTATGTGTGTACGTGTGTACATGTGTACGTGTGTGTGTACGTGTGTACATGTGTACATGTGTACGCGTGTGTGTGTGAGTGTGTGTGTGTGTGTTTGTGTGTTTGCGTGTGTGTGTGTGTGTGCGTGTGCGTGTGCGTGTGCGTGTGCGTGTGCGTGTGCGTGTGAGTGTGCGTGTGCGTGTGCGTGTGAGTGTGCGTGTGTGTGTGTGTGTGTATGTGTGTGCGTGTGCGTGTGTGTGTGTGTACCCCTGGGCCCCTTGAGAGGTCCTGGAGCGGAGCGCGGACGCAGCGCCGACGTCCCCGAGACCGCGAGCGGCATCAGCCGAACCGGCTACCCCGACGCTGCCGCTCGCAGGCGAGCTTGCCTCGGACGCGGGCGCCGCGCAGAGGGACAGGGGCGAGAAGCGTGCTAGGACGGTCTACGTCGTTGGCTTGCCGCACCGCGAACACGTCACGCGAGGCGACCTCGTCGGTGCCCTGAGGCCCTTCGCCGAGGTAGACGGCGCGCGGGTGGGCACCACCGACGCGCTGGTGCGGTTCACCACGCCCGACGCCGCGAAAGCCGCCCTGAGCGCCCTGGATCAGGGCCTCGTGGCCCTGCGCCGCTCGATCTTGAGCGGCACGCTGGCGGCCGTGGACTCGCTGACCGAGGAGTCGCTCCTGCGGGCGAGCGGCAAGAGCCCCCCCGAGAAGCGGCCGCAGCCCGCCACGCCCTCGGCACCGTCGAAGGCGCCGGTGGCGCAGCAGCCTCAGCAGCAGCAGCAGCAGCAGCAGCAGCAGCAGCAGCAGAAGCAGCAGCAGTCACCGGCGCAGCCGAAGCAGAGGCGGCCATTGCAGCCGCCCGCGGCGGCGCAGGGCACCCCCCCCCAGCAGCCGTCTTCACAGCAGCGGGCTGCGGACCAGGTGCACCGGCACATGGACCCGATCCAGCGGCTCGTGCAGCCGCAGCACCCGCCGCGCGCGGCGCCGCAGCCGCCCGCGCCGCCGCCAGCCAGATCGGCGCCGTCGCTGCCAGCGTGGTCGCCCGCCCGCGCGCTGCCGAGGGAGGTGCTGGAGCAGGCCGCAGCGGCCCTGTCGCCCGACCTGGCGGAGCCTCCGGCCGCGTCGGGCCAAGCAGCCGACCAGGTTTGGCGGCGCGCGCAAGGGGGTGGTGAACGGGTGGCGGCGTTGTGAGCAGGCGGAGGAGCTTCTCAGAAGACAGGGGGCTTCTCAGAAGCCCTTCCGGCTTTTAAGAAGCCTTCGTAAAGACCTCCAGGCCTGGGTGAGGAGGCCCCTGCCTTCCAAGCAATTCCCCCTTCTTACAGGGTCGCCTCCCTCTCGCCACTCCCATGTGCGCGCCGCCAACAGGTGCCGAAGATCAGCCTCAGCCAGCTGTGCAACACCGACGGCAGCACCGCGATGTTCGAGTGCCCTCTGTGCAAGGGCGTCGCCTGGCAGCCGAAGGTGACGATGTGTTGCCAGAAGGTGTTCTGCGGGCGGTGCCTGGACACTTGGCTCCAGACCAGCACGGCCTGCCCGCATTGCTCCGCTGCCGTCATGGTCAAGGACGGCAGCACGGGCGGCTGCTGCGAGCAGCGCGTCAAGAAGCTCGACAGGAGCTCCACGGGCGTGCAGGCGGTGCTTTGGCGGGTCTACGGCAACTTGCGTATCAACTGCGCCAACAAGTGCGGGTGGACGGGGAACATCCTCTCCTACAGCGAGCACTTGGCGCACCAGTGCAGGCTTGCCGCTCGCCCAGTGCAGGATGCCCAGGGGAACCCACGGGCAGCGCCGCCAGCGCGGCGGGAGCCCGTAGTTCCAGCGCCCGCGCCGACGACCTCGACGCCGTCGACGGCGGCGGCGCCGAGCGCGCCAAAGCGGCCAGCGCAGGCCGAGGAGGCCCAGAGCAACGCTAAGGTTGTTGTGGAGGACCACCGCGCTGCGGACCCGACGCAGCTCTCGCTCAAGGCGGGCGACCGGGTCATCGTGCAGCAGGTGGCTGCGCACGGTTGGGTGTACGGGCATCGGCTCGAGCCCGGAGGCGGCCGCCAGGAAGGCTGGTTCCCTTCGTTCTGCATGCCAGAGAACAAGCCGCCGCCGACGCGCCCGCAGCAGTCCCCGCCGCCGATGTCGCCCCCGACAGGGTCCACCCAGGTTGTTAGGGATTACGACGCGTCTGACCCCAATCAGCTCTCCGTGAGGAAGGGCGAGCTGGTCTGTGTCCGGCAGAAGGACTCGTCTGGATGGACCTTCGTTGTGAGAGCGAATGCCCAGGGACCAGGAGAGCGGGAAGGCTGGGTGCCGGATTGGTGTATTTGATTTTTCTGCCAGTTTCATACGTTGGCTGATGTGAGCGGCGCGTCCGTTCAGCTGTGTCTGTGCCCCTATATCGCATGCGCTGCGCCCCGCGCGAAGCTTGCAGGTAGGAGGCGCCCACCTTAGTGAACGCGGACGGTGCTCTGTAGCAGTCTCGATTTGGACCCCCCCACGCCACCAGGTGGTCCAGCTCTACATCCTACGAATGATTCCTACTCCTAGCCCGCCTGCTCCTTCTGCTCCGTCCGATCATCCCGCTCGTCCTGTTGCCGCTGATGCTCCTCCTCCCCGTGCTACTGCCTTATCCGTCTTCACAACCTCCCAGTCCTCCCGATCCCGCTCATCCTCCTCCCTCGCACCAGTCACCCCCCCCCCTCCGCAATTTCACTTCCTTCCCTCTTCGCCTTACTCTCCCCCACTCCTCTTTCCCCGTCTCACTTCTTCTGACCCTACAGTCGAAATTCATTAGTAGGTCAACCTTGCCAAATCAAGGGTCCCCTTGTGCCCTGCACATCGCGTCCCATGTCCTCTGCCCCTCTGGCAAGGGCACTGGTGTGTGTGAGCCAAGTTGCCCTCGGCAGAGTCTTGTTGTATCCTGTCCAATCAACTCTGACCCTACCCTTCATCCTCCAGCCACGCGCAGGGGGGGATAGGAGGAGGGGGAGGACTTCAGGGAAAAAAACACAGACACAATTCATCGTCGACCCCCAGGAAAGTATGGGAAAATATGGGAAGTGGGGGGGAAGACAAAACCCCAGAAAATATAGGAAAATATAGGGGGTCTTTTTATGTGTGTGTATTTATTTGTGTGTCCTGGGGCTCCTTTAAAATCCTCCCCTCCCCCTCCTCCTCGCCCTCGCGCCGAGGAGCAGGCGCCGACGAGCTCGAGCGGACGGGGGGCCGGAGCAGGTGGCCCCTCTCGGCGGATGCGCCACGGTTGTGACCACTGCTCGAGTCGGCGTTCTCGGCGCGGGCATCTCTGATGTTGCACCTTCGGGGGACCTCGCCTGTCCCCAAAATTGGTGTCTTTTTGGGGCCCGACGCGTGCTCGATGCGGACTCGACGCGGATTTGGCGTGGACTCGACGCGGATTCGACACGGATTCGACACGGATCCGACGCGTCCGACATGGATTCGACACGGATTCGACGCGGACAGGGCCGCGACGGGACAGGCAAGGTCCCCCGAGGATGCAACATAACATTTCTGATGTTGGCAACGTTGCTTCTGTCCTTAAATCTATCTCAATATCGGAGAGCAGAAGCAGCATGAAACAAACAACGTTTGGATCTCCGCGTGGCTTTCTCGTGTCGGCGCCAAGGCCCCCCCCTGGCGCGCTCCCCGCACCAGGGAGGGGGTCCAGCGCCGATCCGAAAAACCCGCGCGGACCTCAGAAATCGTGTTGATGCCCTGCTGTGCCCCTCTCTAGTATATACATATATATATATACACACACGCACACTTCTTCATGCCCGTGTGCATCGGGGTGCGGGGGATTGAGAAAGACGTGGCCCCAATGGGGAGATCGACTTCGGTTCGGGCCGCGCGTGTGCGGGCGAGGCCAGCTTGCGCGAGAGCGATGGCGTGCCAGCCACATAGCCAGGGCCAAGTCGGGCAAGCATCGGGTGAGTCTGTGTCGCGAGGGCCAGGGAAGCTCAAAGGCCTCACGCGGTTCACCCATTGGTTGTCCCCCGGTTGTCCCGTCTCCAGGTGGTCCCGAGGCCTACTCCGCGGTAGTCCCGCATGTTCCCCACGGTTGTCCCGTGGGTTGTCCCATGTCCCGTGGGTTGTTCTGTGAATTTTCCCGAGGCTGTCCCGCGGGTTGTCCCGCGGCTGTCCCGTGGGTGGTTCGCGCGTGCCGCATATATTTGTCCCGTGTGTTGCCCCGATGGGTTGTCCCACCGGTTCTCCCGTGGGTTTGTCCGTCGGGTCGTTTCGTGTGTTGCCCCGTGGGTTGTTCTGTAGTTGTGCCGCCTTTTTGTCCCCCAGCTGTCCAGTTGTTACCCCGTTGGAGCTGCACACGGACATGCAAGTCCAATCGCAAGTGGCATCGACAAGCTAACCGGATTGCACATTGAAGTGAAGGTCAAAGTGTATTCGGAGTGGGTGCCGACACGTATACCGTAATTGGACGTGCAAGCCGACTTGCACATCGAAATGCAAACACATGTGTAATCTACGTGTTGGTTTGGTCTGTTCGTGAGTGGTCACGTCTAGTATAGTCGATGATTGTGGTTCCGACGGGTGTTGTGTGATCTGGCACACCATGGTAATCTGTTGTGTGATACGATCGGATCCAATGGAGGCCTTGGAGCGATGATTGGAATGAGCAGGCAGAAGGGTCAGGCCAGAACGAAAGTGGTGTGGCACCAGTCTTGGGAGGCTCTCTCGCCAGCCTCTTAGTGTCCTCCTCTGCCGTTTGTTATGTACATGATCGTATTTGTAGTATTCGGGCCTTTCTGCCCTTGAGGGCTTCTGGGCTGCGTCGAAGTCTTTTGGAGGCTTCTCGGGCGCCCCCTGATCTCACAGATGCCTCTTGGGCTGTCTTGGCAGTCTCTTGGGGTCCCTTCACGCCGCCTTGGGGGCACTCACTGGGCCGTCTCACGGCTTCTCAAACCATCTTGGGGGAACAATCCGTGCATGTACAGTATGCGGTCGCACATCTCGGTGAGTGAATGCCTTACCGGCGACCGTGAGAGGGCCGGCAACCTACAAGTGCACCATGTGCGGCACGGGACTGTAAGATGCACAAGATCCCAGAAATTGTGCACACCTGCCCAAAAGAACTGAAGTAGTACACCGATTCGTCCCTGTATTCATGAGATCCAGGCTTCGAGCAATCGTAATCGTGTTTCGTGCACCAGTAATACCAAACACACACACACACTGTCAGGCATTCGCCACAGCCAGAACCATGATGGTCTATGTGGTACCTGATGGTCTATGTGGTTGTTGCTCTCCAGGTGCACTCTTCCGCCAGCCAGTCGATCTGACGCGTGAAGCCATCCGTCGTTCTCCGTCGTTCTCGTTTTGTTTCGCCAGAGGTCAGCGTTAGCGGTGCATTCCATGTGTTCGAGCGTCGGTGCGTAAGGCCCACCACAGCAGACGCAGATTGTCGCAACATCTTCGCCCTGGCTTGACTGCAGAAGAGCTTCAGACACAACGCAGCCACGCAAGACTGCGGAAAGGTGGGAGGCAAGTAGGGCATGGGATTTTCGAGTTTCATGTGCCGTTCGCAGAGCGGCCGGCAGCTGGGCAGGGCTCGCCAGCGCGGCCAAGAGGCTTTGGCGGAGGAGGTTCTTCTGCATCATGGCCCCCCCGCTGAAGCGGAGGACTAGAAGAAGCCTGTGAATCTGCCGATCGCAAACGAAAACGTATCCACATCCGCGGCCTCGCGGGCTGAGCCCTTGGGCAGCGACCCCGCGGATACGGGGCGCTTTTTTGCGGATGCCCCGCGCGGAATTCATCCGTGCGACCGCGTATCTGCGGGATTGCGCCCCGGGCGTGAATTTGGAAATGCGGCTACTCGTAAGAATGACCCTTTGTCATAGTGTCTTTTGGTGCGGGCCCGAAGGGTTGGCCCCAACATTGGCCTGCGTGCTTGAATCGGGCTCCCCGCGGACCCCGAAAGCTGCGCACCAAGGGTCACTCCAGCCCAGGGTCATTCGGTCACTTCGGGCGAGGAGAACTATGCACATACACCAATCTTGGCCAGGCTCATCCTGGGCCCAGGATCGGAGTATATGGCTCGCTGGCCAAGCCACGAAGGCGTACGCACCGATCCTGGGCTCAGGATGGGCCTGGCAAGGATCGGTGTGTGTGTGTGCATAGCTAAATTGCCTCTACTTGCGTGTAGGAAAGCTACGTTCGCCGCTCGTTAGCCTGTCTTTCCCCAGACAACCGACTGCTCCCATTGTTGAGATGCGCGGGCCCCGGAGGTCTGGACCACATCCTTGTCGTCCGGGGCCCCCAGACGGGGTGGTGACCACACCGTGTGGTGAGTCGGTAGGGATCCGGGGTCACCGCACGGTTTTGGGACTCGGGTCATTCTCCGGGGATGTCTCGGGCGACAGGGACCGCCAGGGTCCCACAGCCGTGCGTTGACGCCCCGTGCGGCGGGGCCTCTTGGGAGATTTCGGGGTCACCGCTCCGTTTCGGGGCTCCAATTGGGGCGTTCCAACGAATGCCTTGCCTTCGAGGACAGAAGGAGTTGTCACCTCTTCCGCCGCGGCAGGCGGCGGAAGGCCCTCCCTCCCTCCCTCCCTCCCTCCCTCCCTGGCGGAAGGCAAACGAGGCCGCCTGAGCCGGCGGAAGCTCGGCGAAAGGCGGCGGAAGTGAAAAATGCGCCCCCAAGAGAGGCGACACGTTTCTGGGCGCGGGGTTGCCGACAGCCGCCACAGATCGGGCCGAGGTTTCCGCGTGCGACGTTCTCGTGGACGGCCCCGAGGCCCGGCGAGGGGGCCTCTCCCCAGGACGAGGTCGGGCTGGGTCCCCTACAGGCGGACCTTCGAAGAGACACAGAGGCTCCAGGAGGCCCCAGGAAGCTCCGGGAGGCCTCAGGGAGCCATAGGAGGCCCCAGGAGGCCAGAGGAAGCGCCGGGAGGCCTCGGAAGGCAGCAGGAGGCCCCGAGAGGGCCCCGGAGCAGGAGGCCTCAGAAGGCAACAGGAGTGGCTCCAATCCCATGTGTTTTACGTATGCTCCTATAGATTGGGCCTCACCTTGAGCACGAATCCTAGATGTTCTACGTATGTTTCTATAGATTGTCCTTCTCCTGTGTACTTATGTTCCTATAGGGCCTCTCCTGGGGCACGAGTCCTTGGTGTTTTACGTGTGTTCCTATAGATTGCCCCCTTCTCTTGTGGCTCCAATCCGCAATGTTTTATGTACGTCTGTTGCTATAGATTGGGCCTCTCCTGGGGCACGAATCCTCCCTAGGAGGTCCCAGGAGGCCCCAGGAGGCCCCAAGAGGCTCCTGGAGGCCCCAGGAAGTCCCAGTAGGTTTCAGGAGGCCCCAGGAGGCCCCGGGAGGACCCAGGCTCATACGCAGAGACGCGCTTGTAATCCTGAAGCTCATTCACACTCCAATTCATTCTCAGTTAGATTCATGACCAGACCGTCTCACAACTGAAGCCCGTTTACATTCGAAAGCTCTTGCGCCTGTACATTCACGGCGGACAGGTCCATGCGAAGAGGTGCACATATAGGGAGCTCCACGCAGTGAAGAATTATGGCGGGACGGTCGGTCCCTGCTCAATGACCCCCATCATCTTCATCGTCATCAAAGCCTCATGACGGTCAGCTCGTCTGGCCGATCAGGCCCGAGGCCTCTCCCAGCCGCGCCGGGAGCTCCCCCGCGGCGGTCCCCGCCGCGCGGTGCCGGGGGGCCCCTGCCCCCGGAGACCTCTGCTCCGACCACTGGTCCAGTCCGCCGCCTCCTCCAGGCTGCTCTTGAAGAAGAAAGTGGGCCTTCCTCCTCCTCGTTGTCGTCGTCCTCCTCCTCCAGGAGCAGACAGACAAGGCGCTGAGATAAGGGTTCGGCCACGCGCAGAGGGGGCTTGGGGGGAGGGGGGGAGGTTTTTTCGGAGCGCCCCCGCTCCTTAGAAGGCGCGGGCCTCCTCTGTAGATGTAAGTCCCGTGCCTCCTAAGAGGCAGCCTGCTTCCAAGAAGCCATTCCCCCTCCACCCAACTTCTCCCCTCTGCGCGCAGCCAAAGGCCCGCTTTGGGTTCGGAGGGGGCTCGCTGTCCCTCAGGTCATTCCGTGGTTGGTCCTCTGGCCCTTCTCGTGCACCCGGGCCCTATTGGTGCCAAGGAGGCGCTTCGTTCTTTCTTTATCGTTCCTTACCTCAGCAGCCCGAATGTAGTTGAAGCCCCGCGCGGGTTTCCGGGATCGGCGCTGGACCCCCCTGGCGGCGCTTTTTGCGCCGCAGTTGGCGCGCTCCGTGCGCTGGAGAGGGGTTCCAGCGCCAAACCAGCGGACCTCCGAAAGTATACAGGCACTATGCCCCCCCAAGACGACGGCAGGATGAGGACAAACCCGGATCTAGATCAGCCCAGATCCACATAAGCTGGGAATATCTGAGAGTTGGCGGGTATGGAGGATGTATCAGGCGCCGCGGGCATTTCAGAGCGTTTTGGAACGCTTCGAGTGTTCCAGAACGCCCTGGAGTGATTTCATTTGCCGGTTCCCCTCATCCGTTTCGTTCGACGTCCCTTCCATCTCGTTGCTAACTTCTCCTGCTCTTCCGCTTGCATGATTGTTTGACGTAGCCACGTTGTCCCAGGATCGTGTGCCCAGCAGCGCGTGCTTGAAGATATCCCACTCCGGCGCGATGGTCATGATGCCAAACAGTTGTGATCCGCAGTTGTAGCTGCATCCTGTATGGGAATGTGGTGCCCCTCCTCCTCCACCTGCCTCCTCGAAAACGAAGGATTTGCGGACATCCCTCAAACTTCTCTTGCCAGACGGCCCCATTGATAGTCAGAACTTCTTATCAAGAAAGAACCAGGAGTCCGACATTGTTTTATCACGTTGATGACAAGGGAAGGATCGGAGGAAGCATTGTCAGGACGGCTATTACATGGCTTCGCCGCCAAGTTACTGTGCGTCTTCCGATGTGCCTTCTCCATAGCGTTACCTTCACGGTGGGCGCCCGCACCCATCGTACCCCTGGTGGGCAACCAACGCACAGCCCAGCTATTGTTTGTTCGTCGGCGTCCATAAGTCGATCGACTTCGAACAAGCTCGTCATGTCCTCTCCTCCGTCCTCCCGTCGGGACCAGGGACAGGATCTGGACAGCGCTCGCGTCGGCCGAGTCCTTTCAGGGGATGCCCAGGAGGCTCGAGCACTGACCCGACTCATCGTGATGCTGGGGCGGCAGCTCCACGGCCGGCCGGTCAGGTCAGTGCGCGGGCAGCCCCGGCGGCGCTCGAGCAGCCCTCTCGGAACCCGGCGCCTTCTCGGTCGTTTTTCTGCCCTCCATCCCAGGGTTGGCTGGACGGAGGAGGAGGAGGAGGAGGAGGAGGGGGAGGAGGAGGAGGAGGAGGAGGAGGAGGAGGAGGAGGAGGGAGGAGGAGGAGGAGGAGGAGGAGGAGGGGGAGGAGGACCGGCGGGCTCAGCGACGCCCCCGCGCGGGAGTGGCCGCCATGTGGAGCCGCCTGCGGGAGTCGTGGCGGAGGCCCGCCGACGGCGAGGCCCGGGCGCCGGGGGGGCGGGTCCACAGCCCCGGGCGTGGTGGAGAATAGCACATGAGGCGGGAGCAAGGGCACGAGGAGGAGGACGAGGAGGACCCAGACCCCCTCGAGTCATGAAAAAATCACGACGGGAGGTTTTTCATTATTTTCGGCCTTTGGGGGCCCTTACCGGCCCTCGGGACCGTCAGAAAATGACTCAGGACGAAAAACCGGTCCCGGGGAATGGGTCCGGACCTCTGGGGGTCGCGTCATGAAAAAATCATGACGTCGGGGGTCTGGGGAGGAGGACGAGCAGGAGGACGAGGAGGACGCACACCTGGACTTACTCACACTCTGATTCACTCTCCCTCCGACGCACCCATACTCAAAATTACTTGTACTCATACCTACCCCGACTCATTCACTCTCAGACTTGCTCACACCCAGATTCGCTTACAGTCAGACTGGCCCACCCTCATATTCACTCATACGCAGACTCACACGCACTCAGACTTACTCATTTTCAGTCGCATATTCATCGAATCCATTTTCAGACCCACTCACGCTCAGACTTACGCACACCCAGACCCACTCGCAGTCAGACTCAGTCATGCTCAGACTTAATTCAGACTCTCCCACCTAGACTCACTCCCCTTCAAACTCAGTCAATCCCGGGCTCACTCACACTCAGACTCACTCACGCTCAGACCCCCGCTCTTCCACTTGTGCATCCCCCCTCTATCCTGAAAGATGCCCAGAGGAGGAGGACGTTACTGAAGTCGTCCCTGTCGTCATCGTCGTCGTTGCCGCTCCCGTCGTCCACGCAGACTCGCCCTCGCGCCCAAATGCTTACAGGCACAGTTGCTCAACGAGACGTGACAGGAGTATGAGGTGCGCATGTCCAGATCCCCGCGTCGAGCATGCATTGCAAGTGGCACGTGCGTAGGCTCATAACAACACAAGTCCAGGATGTGTGTGTGTTTGTGGTGTAAGGTGTGTGTGTGTGTGTGTGTCATGTGCGTTGTGCCTGTCGTGTGTTGTGTGTTGTGTGTGCTATGTGTGAGTTACGCGTGTTCCGCTTATGTGTGCGTGCGTTGTGGGTGCGCATGTGTGTGCGCGTGCTGTTTATGGTGGGTGTGCTGGGTGTGATGCGTTTGTTATGAGCGGGTGCTCGCATGTGTGTTCTCAGTGTGTTCTGTGTGTTGTTAGGTGCTGTGTGTGTGCGTTTACTGAGGCGTGGTGTCTGCATTGTGTGTGCGATTGTGTGTGTTGTGTGTGGTGAGTGTGTGTGTGTGAGTGCGTGCGTGCGTGCGTGTGTGTGTGGTGTGTGTGTGTGCGTGCGTGCGTGCGTGCGTGCGTGCGTGCTTGAGTGTGTGTTTGCGCTTCGTACACCAACGCCCTATCGCCAGCGCGGTGACACTGCCTAGCCGCCGAAGAAGCGAGTGTGTGTGTGTGTGTGTGTGTGTGTTTGTGTGTCTGACTGTGTGTGTGTGTGTGTGGGGAGATGTATGTGCGTGCGTGCGTGCGTGCGTGCGTGCGTGCGTGCGTGCGTGGTGCGTTCGTGCGTGCGTGCGTGCGTTCGTGCGTGCGTGCGTGCGTGCGTGCGTGCGTGAGTGCGTCCGTGTGTGCGTGCGTGCGTGCGTACGTTCGTGCGTGCGTGCGTGCGTGTTGTACGTCGGGGCATGCTGCCGAGAGGATGTATCAGGCGAAACTGCAGTTGTTTAACCATCGGGTTGAAAGAGGGATCGATAGTTGGAGATGTCTTTCGCGAAATTGCCATTCTAGAAAACATCGAATGTTGTTCGGCCCATCCCGCCACCGTGCTTGGGTTGTGGGTATGAAACCTGTTGGATGTTCGTTGAGATCTCGTGGGGGGCCTCTCGGGGGCCTCTTGGAGTCAATTTGGAGGCCTCTTGGGAACCTTGAACCCTTTTGGGGGCCTCTGAAAATCTCCTGGCGGCCTCTCGGGGCGGACGGCTGGGGTTTTCGGTTGGTGCCCCCTCTCTTGGGCCCCTTTTGGGGCCGTCTTGGAGACCTCTTGGGCCGTCTCGGGCGCCTCTCGGGCCGTCTTGGGCAGTCTTGGGGCCCTCTTGGAGGCCTCTTGGGCCCTCTTGGGGCGATCTTGGGGGCCTCTTGGGCTGTCTAGAGTCGGGAAGCCGAAAAGGCGAAAACGCCCAAATCCTTCAAACACCTAGGGGACATCAGCTATTGTTGGGGCTCTCGGGCGGCCTCTTGGAGGCCTCTTGGAGCGTCTTGGAAGTCTCTTGGGCCATCTTGGGGCCGTCTTGGGCGTCTCGGAGCGATCGTTCGGCGACTCGGGGCCCTCGTGGACCGTCGTGGCGGCGGCCTCTTGGGGCCCTCTTGGCCGGTCTTGGAGCCCTCTTGGCCGGTCTTGGGGCCCCCTTGGGTCCGACATGCACGTGACAAGCCGCAGAGGAGCCCAGGGTGCACGCGCTCAGCCTGCAGAAATGTCGGAGTTTTGGGTCTGGGCCCCTTTGAAAACTCCGCAGGACTGAGCACTGAGGCTCCAGGGATTAGGCAGAGGACCTGAGGACACGCCCACTCCGTGCCCAGGGGCACGATGCCGGATGCTTCCAGATCATTGAATCCAGTTGTATTGTTGAACCCATAATTGAATGTTGAACTACTTGAAAAAAGGCTGCGCGTTTGGAAGGTGACGCCGCGATCTGCGTGAGGGGTGCGTTCGTTGTTCAGAAGTGTGAGGATGTCCCGAGCAAGACGGCCAGAAAAGAGACACGCAGCTTCACAGCTGCTCGCCTCTGAGCTCTACCTCCCTCGGCGAGGCGCGCGTGAGAATTATTATCATCCGCCCCCCAGCTCCTCATCCCGTCGGGGACCATCCCGTCGGAGCCTTCCCGTCGGGGCCTACATCGTCTCTTGGGGCCCTCTTGGGCCGCTCTTGAGGCGCTCTTGGGTGCGCTTGCGGCAGTCTTGGGGCTCTCTTGGGCCCCTCTTTGGGGCTTCTTGGAGCCATCTGGAGGCCTCTCTTGCCCCCACTCCTGCTCCTCCTGCTCCCGCTCCTCCGAGGCGTCCGCTTCCCACTGCGTTCACAGGCCAGCGCCTCTGGGCCTGGACCCTGTAGAGCGCGGCGGCGGCGGGCCCCACCCTCCGAGGACTAGGCCCTGGGGGCGGCCTGGCTCTGCTCGCTCGCTGGTCCTGCTCCTGCTCCTCCTCCTCCTCCACCTCCCGCCTCCTCCTCCTCCTCCTCCTCCTCATCCTCCTCCTCCTCCTCCTTCCCCTTCTCCTCCTCCTCCTCGTCCTCCTCCTCCTCCTCCTCCTCGTCCTCCTCCTCCTCCTCCTCCTCCTCCTCCTCCTCCTCCTCCTCCTCCTCCTCCTCCCCCTCCCCCTCCTCCTCTCCTCCTCCTCCTCCTCCTCCTCCTCTCCCTCCTCCTCCTCCTCCTCCTCCTCCTCCTCCTCCTCCTCCTCCTCCTCCTCCTGCTTCTCCTCCTGCTTCTCCTCCTGCTCCCCCCCCCGCCCCAGGACGAGGTCTCGAACGAGGCCTCGGCCGCCTCGTGCCCCACGGACGAGGAGCCCTGGCCTGGAGCGACGTCACGACCAGAAGCTCGGGCCGGCGACACGTGCGAGTGTTTCTGTTTGCTTCCAGTATCGCTTAACTTCGGGCGCCTCGGGACGGAGGTCACTGCAAAAGGGGGTCAGCCAGAACGCTTGGTCTTGTAGGGCCCTGCATAGCCAGCGTTGCATTGACCTGGGCTAGCGCGCAGGATCCTGCAGGCAGGCTGCAAAGCCGGACCGACCCAGAGTTGCTCTGACCCAGGCCAGTAGATCCCCGATTTTCTTTCAGTATCGCTCAACCGATCCCTAACCCCATCCCCATCCCGATATCCACCACCCCACCACTCCAGCTGGGGACTTGCCCCTCGAAGCCTGGAGGGAGCGGCCCACATCCCCATCCAGGGGTATATAAATCACCCAGTGGGGCTCAGGCCACGCCAGTGGGGCTGAGGGTGGGTGAAGCGATGCTCGTTCGCTGCACGCAACGGTCGGCAAGCCGCGCACCGATGGGTTTTCTTGCCCCGGGTCGCCCTTACGTGTGGTACGTGTGGTACGTGCGGCCGGTCGGCAGGGACGGCGGGGTGGGAGTCAAGAGCAACCGTGGGGGGGATTGCCATCGGGGGGGACGCATCGACCCCTAATCGCCCACTGATCTCCGACAGGGGCTCGATAGCCCCAACCTGCCCGGGAAGGTGCGGATTCGGTACCGGAGGCCTATCGCCGATCAATCGGCGATGTATCGCGCATTCCAGGTCGACGTTTCCCCCCCATATGCCTATCCCCCACTATCGTTGCCCCTCAGGGGGGGCGGCAAAGGAGCCCCGAGTTCTGAGGCGTTTCAGTTTTTCTCAAGCGGTGACGTGGTGTCTTGGTTCGCCTATAGGCCCACCGAACAAATGTTCTAAGAACCTTTGCGGCTTGCGCGAAGTGTCTTTCTTGGAACTGACATTTCTGGCTGAGACCGTTGTGTTGCAACACGTCGGCTATATGAAGCAACATACAGTCGGCTAAAATGTTTATCTACAGGGCGAATGCGATGGAACTGCTGGGATTAGAGACCGCGTCGAGTATGGCACACGCTGCAAACTGATCAAGGGCGCTCGCACGGACACATAGATGTTCTAAGAATATTGTTTTTGCTTGTCAGACTATACGAACGCCAGGACGGCGAGTCTCAGCTCAGTTTTCACGCCATGTTAAAGCCCTTGGGACCCTCGGGGCCTTATTGGGGGGTTGCCGAGACCTTGGTGGCCCGTCGGGATGTCGTGGGGAACACCTTGGGCCAGTGACACTTTTGAAACCACCCGAAATGTAATTGCCCTTTCTTGCTCCTCTTATCCTTCTCCACACATCCCTCCTCCCCCCTTCCCCATCACACCTCGTTCCACAATTACACATGTCAGCCAGCTTTGAATCCAAACAGTGCGCTTCTAGCAATGGGTGTTGCGTCATCGATTTGCTGCACATGCGTCTGGAATATATGTGGAGCAGTCTGCGTGGTGCAGTCTATGTGTTACAGTGTGCGTTGTTCAATATACGATGCGCAAGCTTTGTTGTGCAAGCACTGTTGTGCAATGTATGTCGTTTAATACGTGTGGTAATCCATGTGGTACAATCTACATTGTGCAACCCATGTGGTGCAAAATGTGCTGTGCAAACTATATGGTGCAATCTCCGCTTTTCATTCTAAAATGTACAACCTATGTGGTGCAATTGATTTGCACAAGCGAGTTGACACATCCCATGCTCTCGCAAACATCCCACGCACACACCCGCACATTGGTTTGCAAAACCCATGCGACGGCGATCGCGGAGAGTGCTTGGCGCTGGCTGGTGCATCTATGCGGCCGGGCCAGCCCGCGCATGCACGCGCGCGCGGCGGCCAGCTAGTCTGACGCGACCGGCGCGGCCGCGGTGGCGCTGGCGTCAGGACACATCCCAGCGGGCACTTCAGTGCGAGTCGGCGAATTAGGCTGGCGCGGTATCGTGGCAACGTCGACAACGGTAGACATGATGATAGTATCGATGCCGGCGACGATGCTGACAGCGACGACGGCACGGCCAGTGACGGCGCCGATGCGCAAATGCTCATCACACCAACGACGATGACGGCGTCCTCGCGTCGGTGATGAAGGTTTTGGGAAGAGTTCCACATGCGCTCGCGGCCGACGAACGAGAGTTGCCCGCATGGTGTGGTTTGACATTGATCGCGCCCCCCCCCCCAGCACGCGCGCAAGGGCGTTCGAGTGATTTCGGCCTGCGGCGCGAGAGGCCCGTGTCGCAAATTTCCAGGAAGATGTTGAACCGCCGGTGGTTTTCATCAGGATTCGCCAGGGCGCGAGCGCAAGTTTTTTCATATAGGAAACTGTTGCGAAACCATCTGCTCCCTACCTAGGCTCTGCCTAGAAGGGTTCTTACTTTATAAGCTTCAAGGTGGTTCGGCCTTTCGCCGTGCGGTTCGGGAGCTGTCCAGGGCGGCCTACATTCGTGCTTTCTTGGGCCATGGGGGCGAAATCGTCGCCTTCGCTAAAGGTGCCGCGTTGGGCGTCCTTCCCCAGACCATCCAAGGTGCTGAACACCTGTGCATGGCATTGTTCCTGATGTTCCAGGAGTGCGGGGGCGAGAGGCACTCCGACTGCATGAATGTCGTTCAGCTGCGACCCGCGACCAAGGCTTTTCAAGCCTCTCGCAAGCACCGCTACGCTGGATTGCGACGTGGCGCATTGTTGCACGGAGTCGAGCCCATGCCCGATGTGCACCACTCTTTTTACCCATCGGAGCCGAGATATCATTGATGCGCTTCCAGGGCCAGCCAGGCGCATCGAAGCAGGCAGCTGGAATGCAGACGCTTGGGCCAAACAGGCTCTCCTCCCTCACCCCCAACCCAGTATGCATGCGCGTGGGGAGGTAAACAGGAAGTATAATATGTTGGAATGTGTGGCTAGAGTTGCCAGCGCAGTGCTAGCAGCTTCGCCCTTCGACAAATTCGAGCGCCAGGAAGTGGGTCCGAGGGCCAGGGCTGTGAATGCAGGAGGTTGACGCGCATGGCAAGAGCTCACTGAGCAGGGTCAAGGGCGCACTCGTTGTCTCCACTGCCTCCAGCTTTCCTCGGACCCCCTGGCGCGCCCCATGTCAGGTTGCAAAGGCCCCAATATGACTTGGTAAGGCATCCAGGAAAGAGCGGCCCAGGACGATCCTGGGCCGCTCTTTGGGACGCGCCCTTGCTCATTGCATCGCTGAGAAAAAAGGCAAGCAGTTGATCATGATTCTCTTCTGCGCCACGTGCGGAGCGTGCCCGTCCACCCGTTACGTTTTGCTGGGTGAAGATTGCTCTCGGCGGTTGTTGTCTGGCGCCCCGACCACGCTGCGCAGAATTCATGCAGGTTTGCATCCTCACTGCCGCGAGAAGGCAGCGGTCAGCGAGAGCTCGCGGCGAGGAGTTGCTTTCTTCATTTACGCTGCGCAACAGCCGCCGCCCCGTGATGTGAGTTTGCTTGTTTCGTCCTCTGGTTTGATACGGGCTCCAGGGATGCTGGCTCTGCATGCGCGGATCCAGGCTCGCGAGGCCGCGGCGGCGGCAAGGCCTTCCGCTGCTCCGGCGAGGTGATGTTTCCGCCCGCCCTGGCCCCCAGGACCTGGATCCGCGGTCGCTGGGCTCGCGTGGCGGGGTCGATCAGGGGTTTTGCGTCCTCCTGCTCGGCGGTGCTGGTTGCGCAGCCAGCCTTGGAACTCGGGCCTTGGAGTTCCGTCGGGCAGGCGTTGCGGGCCGTCCTTTTCACCGCCACGTGCGTGGCCACTGCCCCCTGTGCGCGGCCGCGGGGGTGGGGGATGCTCCCCATGCGGTGACAGGTACTCAGGAGGGCCACTCATTTTGTCGGCGGTCGCTGGGCTCACGTGGCGGGGTCGATCAGGGGTTTTGCGTCGTCCTGCTCGGCGGTGCTGGTTGCGCAGCCAGCCTTGGAACTCGGGCCTTGGAGTTCCGTCGCGCAGGCGTTGCTGACCGTCGTTTTAAGTGCCTCGTGCTGTCCTCGTCCCCCTGTTGCGCGGCCGTGGGATGATTTCTCCCCCGCGGCGACCGCTGCTCAGAGGGGGCCGCCCTTTTGTTTTAGAGCGCGCGTCAGGGCAGGGGGGAGGCCGCTCCGCCCGTCTCTTTTTCCTTTTCTTCGGGCCCTTGGCCCTGCACCGCGTGGCCCACAGGTGCTGCTCGGTGCCCCTGCCCGTTGGGGCTCGGTGCCCCCCTGCAGGGTCGGCAGCCACTGTTGATCGGCTGACGCGATGTACCGTTCAGGCCCTAACCTCCTCCTCCTCCTCCTCCTCCTCCTCCTCCTCCTCCTCCTCCTCCTCCTCCTCCTCCTCCTCCAAGGTTCGCAGATCCTTTGTGTTCCGATGGCGCATGACACGATGGAGCCTTCTTCGGGGTTCCAGGTCCGCTATGGCACGGCTCGGTGGAAATAACAAAAAACAAAGCAGTGCGAAGGGAAGGGTGGGAGGGGCAGGGTGTCAGATAAGGGGCAAGCGCACCTAGCTTGTCCCCCCGCCCTCTCTCCTGTCTCCCCGCCGTCCTGCCTCACTCCTCGTTTCTCTGCCCCCCTCCTCCTCCTCATCACCACCGTCGCCCCTCGCCCCCTCTGCGCTTCCTCCCTCGTCGATCCTCATCCTCCTCCCACCTTCCCCTCCTCCCTAATTCGCCCTCTCTCCTTTCTCCCTCTCCTCGCGTCCCGCGCGCGCGCCTCGAAGCGCGACAACGGCCGGCCCAGCCCCCACGCCCTGCCAGGAGCTCCCCTCCGGCGATACAGCGCCCAGCGTCCAAGCGGCGACCGCCACCGCCCCGTCGGCCCCACGGACCTTGTCGAAGGTCTCGTCGGCCTCGCGCAGTGGCTGGCAGGAGCCACCGGGGGGTATTTGTCCATCCCCCTCTGGTGTCTGCTGCTCCTCCTCCCCCAATATTCCTCTTCCCGCTCCGCCTCTTGCTGCATATCCCCCTCCTCCCCCTCCTCCTCTTCCGCCTCCTCCTCCTTCTCCTGTCTCCCTTCCAGATCTCCTTCTCCTCCTCCTCCTCCTCCTCCTCCTGCTGCTGCTGCTGCTTCTCGTCCTACTCGTCATCACCATCAGTCTCCATTTCTCTACCTCCTTCCTCCCACTGTTTGTAGATTGGAGCAGTGGCGTGATCGCGCACATCCTGCCAGGGATGGCCACCTTGCCTCCCTCCGCGGTGGTCTGCCTGGCGTTGTGGTTGATGATTGCGCCGAAGATCTGTGTCTGGTCTGCGCATGCGGTGGATAGCGGATGGTTCTGGTCCCCTTGTCGGCCAGAGCCCGCGAACATGTGGCGCATCGTTTTGCAGCGCCGGTGTGAAAACGGAGGCCTTCGGGTGCATGATGGCCTCTGTTGAGCCCCCTGGTCGAGGAAGACAAGCACCAAATCGGCATCACCAGCTGCCTGTCGCGTTTCGTGGAGCCTGATCGGCGCCGCCCTGCGACACGTGCTCGTTTCCTGGCTGAGCTCGCACGTGTACGCGCAAGTGCTATGATACATCCTCCTCCTCTTCTTCCTTCTCCTCCTCGTCCTCCTCCTCATTCTCCCTGCTCGCCCTCCTTCTCCACCGTAGCCGTGTCGGCTCAACATACAACGTTCTCAGTTCTGTCCTCTTCGCGTGGTGTTTCATATGTTTATCTTATTTCTCCTCGGTTGGCGGCTTGTGATTTGTTGCGGTAGCCAGGGCACCTCCTCCCCAGGACTCCCCGGGCGAGGTCCTCCTCGCTGGGACACGCATTGTTCCCGCTGCTTCCTCCTCTTCTTCCTCCTCCTCGGCGACCGTTCGCCCGGGCAAGCTTGTCACAGGTAGGTCCTCTTGTTCGTGTCCTGTATAGGGGGGGCAGGATTTGTCTGGTCCAACCGTCGCCTATTGGAAGCAGCTGCGTAGTCATGGCACCAACGGGTTCCCCAGGAGGCCCGAATCCCTGTTTGCCCGAATCGCTGGCCGGACTTTCGGCAACGTTTGCAGGACAGCGTTGCGACGACCATGATATTTGCCGGCGCACTTGGCGAGGCGAGTCGTGTATATGTTCTACGTCCGCTCCCATCCCTTGCTATTCCAAAGAACGCAAAACGCAATGCTCTCGGGCAAACTAAGTGGAGACCGGTGATCCGCGAGTAGACCCGAAGGTTACTTCCACTCGATCCCCCCAGTGGGCTGCCCTGCGGCTGAGGGGTTCTCTCGCACCAAAGCTTCGCCTCCGCCCAGGTGTCTGCCGTCATCGCATGCAGAGTTTCACCTAGGGTGCCTGTCGGCCTCGCTCCACCAGCTGGCAGTCCCGCCGCCCGGGTAAACGGTAGAGTTTCCAGTTCCTGTTGGCGCGATTGCCAGTGCATGACCGCTTCAGACAATGGAATCCCCGGCCACAAGCAGGAAGGGAAGAAGTCCACGAAGGCTGATCGCGACCTACGCCGCAGCCCAGCTGGAGGACATCGCGCGTCGTCCGCCTCGAAGCCGCAGCGTGGAGATCCCCGCTAGCGTGAGCGTGAGCTCGACCGTGTGGAATTCGCTGGCGATCCTTCTCGCGCCCGTCTTGGTGATGCTAATATGATCAGTGAGTTCGCCTTCGAGGATAGCCCCACCTCCCCGTCCCAGCAGGTCCGTGAAGTTGCTCTAGCTCGTGCTGCTGAGAATTAGCTCGCTATTCCCGCGAGTCCGACTGCTGGTGCCAATGCTCCCCCTCGTGCTGCTTCGCCTTGCAGTGGGACTGGCGAGGCCCAGGACCCAGGATCGCAGAGTTGACCAGTGGTATGGTAAGCATGCGCTCAACACGTCGCTCGGGGAGTTTAAAGCTAGGTGTATGGATGAGATGTTACAAACATGCGTTCAGCGTGCGGCGAAGCACTTGCCGACCACCCGCAGATCGGCCACAGGCCCCACGTTTGCCAAGTTTGACACCACGGCCCATGAACGTGCCAAGCAGATGTCGCATTCGATCATAGCTACGGATCGCAAAACTGACACAGTAGAAGTGGCCCAGAAAAAGGATGCGTGAAAAGTTGGGCCGTTCCGAGAAGGGACTTGATCTGGCCAAGCGCACGCCGCCTCGGGCAGCTGCCGAGCTCGCCGCTGAGTGGGACGGGGGTATTGATGGCGGCAGCTTCGCACTTGACGCGCGCGAGGACCTCGCGCCCTGTCAGGTCGCAGAGCGCATCGGGGTGTGGCTCGATGCGCGAGGATATGCCCTCGGGAGCAGGTCGTCTTGAGAGGCCCGCAGCTGAGGGGAAGCTACGCGTTCATAATGATCGGCCCATTACCTGCCAAGATTCAATCTCGCATGCGCCATTGGCAGCCTGCTCCCAGGATTAGCGCCGGCAGCGGGCGCGAATTTTTTGCCGCGGGTTATCGTGGAAGGAGGGCCGACGTCTTCGTCGGCAGGGATAGGAACAGGTGCGAGGCACCTCGTGAGAAGGCTTGCCGATCGCTCAAGCGCGCGTTGTCTCGTCGATTCAATCGACTGCAGTGCCCCGTCTACGTCGACAGGGGCGCGGGCGTGTTCGCCCACCAGTGGTAGCCGATTGCAAAGCTGGTCGTCTCTCCCCACGAAGCGCCCAGAGTCAAATTTAACCGTTTTGGAAGCGCCGACGCGGGCGCCAATTTCGCGGATGTCAGGGTGCTGGGCAAGGAAGTTCTCGCCATCGCGACCCCGGCGCTCTCAGACGCCTGCTGGAAGCTGCGCGCGCCGTTCCCCGCCTTACCTCATCGTGCCTTTACAAGAGGCCCTTGGCGATCAGCCAACAATCTAAGAAAAGACAGCCAGCCAGCAGGCTCAACTCGCCAAGCCGTCTGCGCCGCGCTCTCCAGGATTCGGCCGAGGGGGGGGGGCTTTCTGAAGTGGTTGGTTTAGGCCGCATTCTGAAGCTGTACGCCAGGGCCCGCTATTTTGAAGTCCACCACCCAGATGTCCACGACTCCGATGCCCCTGCCGCCCCCGTCGAAGTGGCTCAGAGGGAAGTCTCTTCCCAGGTCGACGTTGTCGAGGCTTCGCCATTGAAGCGCGGTCTCGCTTTGCGGGGCGACTTTCATGTTGCTGGAGGGAGTGGTTTTGAATCGGCGACCGGGGCACGGGCGTCAGGTTTGGAAAAAATGGGCACGGAGCGCGCAGGCGCGCGCTCCGCAAGCCGGCGCCATGAGGGCCCGGACAGAGGCCCGCGTCGACGGGCGCTGCGCCGCGACCACCGCGCCCCCGCCGGTCCCGCGCGAAGGTTTTCAGTCGCGCCCCAGGTGCCCCGAACCCTGTGCCATTTTTTGTTGCGAATCAGTGACCAGCCTACCAATTTGCAGGGCGCGCGCGCAGGGGTCCCCAGCGCACCCCCTAACCTCGCCCAGCAATGCAGAGTGCTACGGTTGCCCGCGCAATCGCCCGACGCGCGTCTGGGCAAGATGGCTTGCGAGGGCCCTGCTGGCAAGGCATCTGCGGGCGCTGGGGGGCACCTGCGGGCTCTGGGGCGAATTGGCACATGTCCCGAGGGCCCGAGGGCAGCGTCTCAAACCGGGTCTCAAGCCCCCCGCATCTCTTCAGCTGCAGGAGAAGGGGTGGGGAGAGAGGCGATCGAGGCTGGGGCTCTGTGGGCGCCTCGCCCTGGCATGGGATCTGGGATCCAGTCGAGATGGCAAGCTTTCGCCAGGCAAGCTCGCCCGCGGCGAACCTTCGCGAGGACTGGATTTCTGGCGCGGGCGAGGATGGGCGGGGCGGCGGCGCGGGGGGACAAGTGCGTCGCCGCCGCCCCGAAGGCGCTGCCCCGGAGCTGAAGCGACACTGGGCCCCGGTCTCTGGCGGGGGCGGGGCGTGATGCCGAGATGTTTGCGTTGGGCTCCCTAGACTTCCGCGCGCCCCCTCCTCCCTCGCCTCGCTCGATCACAGCGCGCTTCGCCCTGCCCTTCGCGCTGGCAAACGGACGAGGGCATCGAGCTCCCCATCGAGAGCCGCCCCGCGGGCAACCGCGCCCCCCCGTCTCTGCCAGCGCTGCGCCGCAAGCTCCCGCCCCCAAGCTGGCGGCGCGCGCGCGGGCCCGACCCCCGCGGGAATCCCGCGGTGAAGCCCGCTCCCCTGGCCTCAGAAATCTCACAGCAAGATTTGCGTCGGGCGAGTCCCTCTACAGGAGGGACATTCAAAACATGTCACACACACACGCACCAAACAAATAATATGGGGACGACGCGTGACCATGTTAAATGATTTTTGAAATATTTGTGGCGCGTGTTCTATTCGTCGCCCAAACTTCGCCTGTGGGGGGACAGGCCCGACCTGGCGCCAGTAAGATGGCGACTGTCGCTTTCAATGGGCCCATCTGTCGGGCCCCCCCGGGAGCTCGCCGGCCCCCTCCAGATGGGCGGGCCAGTCCGGGGCTGAACTTCTGATGCAGCATCGCCGGCGCAGAGGCCCGCAGTTCCAGGCGCGCGCCCGGGCCTCCCAGCTGGCGCGTCGGGAGTGGATGCGTATCATGATGAAGCTTGCTCCTTTGCCCGAAGGTTTTTTACGTGCGGCTTCAGCTTTCTGCAACCATGACCCATGCCACTCGGCCTTGCGACATTTCTCAGTTGTCCGACCTCTGGTTTCTTGCTGGAGCCTTCAAAGGACGCCCGTTATCAGGCAGCTTGCGTGCTCTGCGCCAATAGTTGCCTCATTGACACGGCGGTGCACATCGCGCGACGGCGTGGCGGCATAGTGCGCGCGTGCGCAGACGACAGGAGTAGTCTCTTGGCGTGAACGCGCCCGTTTCCACTTCGGAGGGATCTTCTGGCCCGCGGCCAGGCTTGCCCATCTCACGCTCAGAGCTCTCACGCGTGCAGCGGCCTTCCTGCGGGCCCAAGTCTCTGGCGGCGTCATTTCTCATGTGCGAACCGGCTTCCTTGCCGCTGGCGCCCAGTGGGATGGCTGCGCTGCTGCCTCAAAAACGTTGCACCCCGGCTGCGTGTCCCAGCAGGGCTGGACCTGAACGGTGTTTTGGCGACTTCCTGGGCCGTTTTCGTTCCGACTGCGTTTGGCGGCAGGGGCGGATCGAAGACAAAACGAACGCGAAACACACCGTTGAGGATCAGCCCTGCGCCCCGGGGCCTCGCCCGAGGATGGCCCGGCTCTGCTCCAGCGCGCCAGGGCCACGTGGCCACTGCGCCCAGCGCTATGCACAGCAGCTCTATCGGACGTCGTGGAACTCATTCTTGGTTGACAAGAAGCTCCAGGCAAAACGCGCGAGGATTCTTTTCGGGTCGTCTCGGCGTGGGGACCGGGTCCACTTGGGTAGGCGGGGCTTCGTGCAGCCAGATAGCCTGCTGTCGATCGGCTCGGATGCGGGCGCGGCAGCAGCCTCGGGCACCTGTGCGACCTGGCTCTGGGCGCTGGCCAGGCAGGCTTCGAGCTAGAGTTCGGGAGTGGGGGTTCTCGCCTACTGTTGCCCCCCTTCCCGGGGGTCTCCGTCGATTGCCGCCATCTTGGAAGAAACCTCTGTGGAATTCCTGGCGAACCTCACGTCGCGGCCTCGGGGCAGAGAGAGGCTGCTGATTTCTTTTCGCAGGCGCTCGACCCCGATCCCGTCGCCCGCGCTAGGCAGCCGAAGTGGCAAGGACACGTGGTTTACACATTCAGACAGATGTTCGGGCCCTCTTGAGATTCCCTCTTTGATACGTCTAAGAAATGTCAAGGTTCAGCTCCGCCTGTCAGGGGGGGATGGGCCGCTCTTCGTGATCCACCGAATCAAGTGCCACCAGCGTGACCCCCCATCGTTGTGCGCTTGTGTGTCGGAGGATGGCGCACAGGAGGCCGAATGCAGCGCCCGTGCGTTTGCGTTCTCTCCCTTGCCAGAATGAGCCAAGCAATAGTTAGCATTACCTTCCTTTAGTTTCCCGCGCATTTTCTTTCGGGCATCTCGGGCCCCGCAATCTCGCCCCCCATCCAGCGCCGTGCTCACGTTGGGATTGAGAGGCCACAAGTTGTGTTGCATCGTCGTGCTCTTCCATCTCTACAGGTTTGGACCGCGCCTTGCGTCAGCGAAGGAGCGGATGTTGACACTCCAGGAAACTGGCTCTCTAGCGGATGCCGCCAAGGTCTCTACCTGCCCCCCGGCGCGTCGCCATCCGACGCAGCAGTTGGACCGCGAAAAGACAACGAAGGTTATCGCGCAAGCCGCTCGAGCAGGTGCCCGCCGCGATCTGCCAGCGGACCGAGGCCCCTCGGTTTTCAAGCGGTGGGGGTTTTCAAGCGGGTTTTCGGTCTTCGGGTTTTCACGCGGCGAGGGCAGTGGCACCACGCGTTCCAGCAGTAACATGGATAGCAGCAGTAGCAGTCATGTAGAGTAGTTGAACTGGCCTCTTCGGCCCCCCCCCCTCCTCTTCTTCAGCCCCCGCGGCGCAAATCTTTTTTTCGCGGGGCGCCCGGGGCCCCCAGGCATGTCCCTGACTTGCCGCGACGCCCTCCAAGGTGCTAGCCTCAGGCGGCCATGGACTTGCGCTGCTGCGCATGGAATCCTCTTCTCTATGCGACAAGCAGGTCGATGGGCGGATGTGGCGCGCCAGTTCAGGAGATGCGGGATAGTGGGCATTGCAGGCGCACAGGTGGCTACTGATACCCATTGTGCTCAGGACCGCCCTGGGCGATTTCTTCGTTTCCAATGGGGTCGAAGTGGATGGGGGCTCGGGGGGGCCTGTTGGAGCGGCGCTGCTAGTTCGAGGCAAGTTTGTTTCGCCCAAGCAAGTTAGACCTGCATGGACGCATGCAGGAGATCTTGCGGGCCGCATCGGCGCAGTTCGCTTCAAGACTGAGAGCGCGGACGTGGCCATCATCGTGGCGTACGCCCTTGTGGAGCCGCCTGGAGGTCGAGGACGTGCCGTTGCTGTCAGGTTCTGCAAGAAGTTCTGGGACACGAAGAAGGGGCTGCTGGACGAGCTGCCTGCACGCACGGTGCCCGTCATCGTGTCGGGCGCCAGCGCTCGGGCCGGCAGCGAGTTGAGCGACGCGCTGGGGGCGCGCAACGCGGGCCAGGAGAACGCAAACGGCGGTTTCTTCAGAGAGGCGCTGGAGGAGCATCACTTGTGCGCGGTGAAGATCTTTTCCGAATGCAGCCCTACGCGCTGTCATGGGGACGCGGTTTCCACGGCGAGAGTTGACTACATCTGCAGTGCGAGAGACGTTGGCGGGCTTGCTTCGTCGCACAGAGTATGGGAACGCGCAGGGGAAGCGCTACAGCTCATCAACACGAGGACTCGACGAGATCATTTCCCTGTTGTGGCTGCGCTGCAGATTGGATTGTTTGCCCAGCGAACGAGGAGCAGCGGGTTTGGCGGGATCACGCTAAGCTGAGTCGGGCAGTCCTGTTCGGAGAAGAGGCGCGCCTTCCTTGCGGGGGAGGCGCGCCTTCCCTACGGGGGCGATCCGTGCTGTCGGCCAGGTGGCGTTCATCGCGGAGACGCTGTCGAGGCAGAGTGCCGACTCGATATACCTGGAGTTCCACGACGCAGCGACGCCTGTAGCTCACTTTTTCTCTTGTGATACCCAAAGAAGTAGCAAGGCCGCAAGACACGACTGATGCGCTAGCCGTGCGCATCGAGAAGAGATTTCGCTTGAGGCCCTTGCCCTCGTGCCTTGTTCCTTCCCTCCCCTCTTCCTTCCCTCCTGGTTCGTCCTCTTCCTTGCTTGTCTTTCTCCCTCCTATCTTCTGTGGATTGCTCGTCTGCGTACGCGCGCCGCTTCGCGATTGTATTGCGAGTATGTGCAATCATGCCAAGCATAGGGCTCTGCGTCGTCCGGCTGACCGCTCTGCCAGGTACTTCGCGCGACGTGACAGAAACCGCGATCTCGGGTTGCGGGTGCCCGAGCTGGAAGATCCCTGGGGCGAGCGGAGTTGCGCGGCCCCTTGGGAATTAACCATAACTTAGCGGAAAGGCGCGTGACCCCATGTTGCGATTGCATTTGGCCCCCAGCGCGCATTTAGACTGCGACGCCTGGTCTGCCTTCCTGCCGGAACCTGGAGAGGAAGGAAGATTTTCTGCTGGCGCTCCTAAGTACGATGGGGAGCTTGGCGCACGTCTCGCTCGCGGGCCGCGAGAGGACGAGATGCAAGAAGCTACGAGTGCTACGAAAGAGGTGTGCGGCACAATTTCGTTGTTATTTAGACGCGTTAAGCTTCGCCATGAACCCCTGTCGCGGTCCATGCCTGCAGGCGCGCGGCGCATGCTGTTCTGGCCTAAAGAGTTTAAGCCACGCGCGCGCAGGTCTAGGTGCTGCCGCTGGGAGCTGGGACTAGCTGGCTATTAGGCACTGTCCGCTCGCTATCTTAATCGCCGTGAGTTTTCATGAGGAATCACCCATGATCTGGCACTGTCGTCAGGCGTTTACACTCAGTAAGGCTAATGGGAAGGCGGAATGAGCAGGGCATCGGCTGGTTCATAGTTTAGACCCGTTCGGGAAGGCGTATTGCAAGTACTTATGGCGTGCTAGTCCGATGCTGTCCTATGAAGCTTCTAGACATTATGCGCATGGCTACCTGAAGATCGGAGGAGAGAGGGAGCGATTCGAGTACAGAGTCTAGTGCAAGAACTATTGCGAGAAGCTGGTTTAAGCTCCAACAGCGTATCTCATGAAATGTTGATGATGTGCGTTCGCCAGAGCGCGGACGAGTTCGCCACGGCGTTTTTTTTTGAAGTACGCTTGATGCACGGGCATGTCAGTCTTGAGTGCGTTGACGGGGTTCTAGACATGGGAATCGGGTCTGGTGCTTGACCTGGGGACTCGATCGCGTGCTTATGGTTTTTGGGTCCTTATCACTTGGCTGTTGAGCGTCCTGGGCTTAGCGTGTCGGCCCCATGGTTGAAGCATTGTCTGTCAGACGACGTGAAAGATCTTGTCCGCCTCTGCGCTCGGTCGCAGCAGCCGATCGATGTGTCCTTGACTGCGTTCGCTGGTGACCCTGCTGAGACTCAGCTCGTACGCTCGCTAGAAGGTCTGGTCAGGTTTAACAAAACAGACACTGAACATCTCACTGGCAGACTAAGTATCGCCGACGTTCAGGCCAACACGAGCAAGCAGGAGTGTTTCGTGCATCTAGGAGGCATCGGTGCCACCGCAACAGGGCGTCGACTTCTTGGAGGGAGGCAGGTGGAAGAGAAGGGCATGTGGAGGCTGAGGAGTGGGGGGGGGATCGTTGGCAAAGTGGCGCGTGCTTGCAGATATCTTGGCCTGTATCCTCAGGCCGACGGCAGCCCGGCATCAGAAATCCATCGGCGAACGCAGAAAGTTGGACAAGGATGTCATATGTTGCAAAGGTTTTGGGAGAATTGTTTTCAGAGGCGTTGGTAGAGTACTGTTGTCCGTTATGTTGTTAAGGGCGCGTTGATGTATGACTTGGTTGCTTCTGTCTTGCGTACCGAGAGCGTGTATGCGCTGGACGGTGCGCGGGCAGGTATGTCACGCAGATTATTTAGGGGGGCGGCGAGTGGTAAGCATCAGGAGGAGGAGGAGGAGGAGGAGGAGGAGGAGGAGGTTCAGTACTGTGGAATGGCTAATAAGACGGTCCTCTCCGAGCTGAGGCTTGTGCCTGTTTCGCTTGCTCTGCGAGTGCAGAGGTTGAAGTGGATGCAGGATGATGCGAGGCGCTCACTCCGTAACCTGCAAATATTGGGGGCGATGTTTGGGGAGAGTTATTGGGAAGACGCGGAGTTCGAGAGCGTGGATGGGGAGGGATATCGCATAGGGCCCATGCGTTCCTGGTGGACCCAGATTCAAGCAGATATTGCTGATCGTTTTCGTGTGGGCGAGTGCCCGCAACACGCTGAACATGTACGCGTGCGACCTGTTGCGATTTGTGCGACGAAGATGCGCGTCGCGCCTTCCTCTACACCGATCCGCTTGTTCTGGCAGGTGATTAAGTAGGTTAACAAATACCCGCCTCCATGCCCCTGGGGGCCACCCCTCCCTCCCCTCCGCCGCCTCCTCCTTCCCCTCCCCCTGACTTCATCTGCGGTCTCAGCCTGGGGGAGGGAAGGTATCCGTAGTGCTGAGTACCCCACTAGGCGTCAGCTCCTGCTTCATCCACGCAAGCAACTAGAAGAGTGTCTCTGATGCTATCTGTTGCCTTGTTGTTGGGCATGGCCTTGCTGTCTAGTGCCCAGCGCACTCCTACCAAGACATGAAGTTAGGTCAGCAAACCCGCTGAATTTAAGCATATAAGTAAGCGGAGGATAAGAAACTAAATAGGATTCCCTTAGTAATGGCGAATGAACAGGGATCAGCTCAGCATGGAAATTGGGGCCCTCGGCCTTGAATTGTAGTCTCGAGATGTATCGCCAACGGAGGCGCAGATGTAAGCCTCTAACTCTCAGCGTCCTAGCCATGGTTTTCGGAAAGTTGCTCGTGCAGCTATGGTTTCTTATGCTTGTATATTGTGTGGGGATCTGTATGCTGCAAAAAAGAATCGCAAATGAATATCTGCTCCGTAGTCTGGCGAACAAGAAATGTCCTAGGTCCTGAGGGTCTGCTACGGTATTTGATCTCGGTGTTCCGCCCCCCATACGAGTGTTTGTTGTGCGAGGTGTCATTCAGTAGCTATTCGGACGTTCAGTGGCATCTAGTCAGCACGTTCCCTTGGAAGATCAGATTCTGGAGCTATAAGCATGTCTCAGCCGCAACGGGCCGCGGTGTTCGACCAAGTCGGTGCGAAGCCTCCCGCTGCCGCTGCTGCTGATCCAGGCGCTCAGACTCGTAAGCGCGTGGCCGTCGACGACGGCACCACGGAGAAGAAAGTCGATCTTGCCCTCAAGCTCGGCGTCATCAATTCCCAGAGGAATCGCCTCGAGGCGGCCTGCACCACGCAGTTCACTATCAAGGTTGCCGACCCCATCGATCAGGCGATGAAGAACGCACACGACAACGAGTATCTCCCCCGCGTCAAGGGCCAGAAGGGACACGGTCTTGGCGCACCCGACAGTTTCATGTCCATGGGAGTAGCAGTCACAGCGATGCCGCGCGCCACGCAAGAGCAGCAGGATGTGTTTCGAAAGTTGCTTCGGTAATTTCGTTGCAGGCAGCCAGCAGTCCCAGCTCCTAGTCAATCTTTGTCGCACGAAAAAGATGTTCGGTCCCAAAGTTCGCAGGTTGATGATTGCCATCAACGATCCAGTGCTGGAGGCCACTGTGATCCAGATTTTAATATCTTCTAAAGAAGAGGCCATTGTTTTTACGGGTCCGAGGCCTGCGGGCTATCTTGAGTTCGAGGGGCAAGGTTTGATTGCGTCTTGAGGCGTGACAGTTTATTTATGAGGCCATCCCTGTTTGGTGAGAGCCTGGAGTTGCTTTTGCGTTGCGCAGCAGCCTCGGAGAGAGTGCGGCCGTGCGCCGACGTCTGCCGAAAGGCACCGTCGCTGGCGCCCTCCAGTCGTGGAGGGCCGAGAGCTTGATTTGATGGGGGGAACCCCAAGCTTCTCCCCAGTCCATCCGACCTTTGGACTCAGCGGAGCGATACCAATACCCCCTCCTCCTCCTCCTCCTCCTCCTCCTCTTTCCCCTCCTCCTGCTCCTCCTTCTCATCATCATCATCATCCTCATCATCCTCATCATCCTCATCATCATCATCATCATCATCAGCAGCAGCATCATCATCATCATCCTCATCATCATCATCATCATCATCATCATCATCATCATCATCATCATCATCATCATCATCCTTCTCCTTCTCCTCCTCCTCCACTTTCTCCTTCTCGTGCCCCTCTTCGTCCCCATGTTTCGAATACACGTTCGAGTGGCCCCTCGCTGGAGTGACTCTTGGGGCGGGCCCATCGGGGCCACCCGATCTCGGACTGCGGTGCGATAGCAGCGACTTGTGCGCTGATGGTCGGGTCCCGTCGCCCCTCCCCTGAGCAAGAAGGGTCCGGTTCGGGCCGGTTCGGGCCGATTCGGCAGCGGGCCGCCTTAGTTGCGCCGACTTGGCTTCGGCGACGGGCCGGTTTAGGCCGGCTCAGTTTCGGTCTGGT